ACGCAGCTTTTTTCGGTATTTTTAGGTGCACACGTTCTGGATCTACACGTCTGTCATTGTTGGCCAGGGCCTAGGAAAATAAATGTCATGTTTCCAGTTACAGTCCTGAATAGTTTGTTTGTTTGTTTGTTTTATTGGGATCTCCATTAGTATTTTATAATCATACATTCACACTATTCTTCCTGGAGTCTATACAACACAACATAATAGGTAGGGGGATAATTGTCTTTTTTTCTTTTTTTTTAGATTTCTGTATAACTGATGCAACGAAATACAGTTAAACAGTGTAAAACTGAAATGCATCAGAACTGCCCCTAAGTTTGCTTGTGGGAAGGGACAATTATATCACCCAATTTACTCAGTGAGAATTTGCTACTAAAAATGCACGAAATAATGTCTCATGGGGTTCTAAATTCTGACGTCAGCTCCAAAAATCTATGACCTTGTCAGCGGAAAAAAAGGGTAGGCTCGATCATGAAACCGGACACACAACAATTTTTTCCCTGGCCTAGACACAAGCCGCCTGTCCTCTCCTTGGCATGGCTGGAAGAGGTTCTGGCATTGTTGTGTCCCGGAATGTGCCTCAGGTCAAGTTACAAACTGTCAACATCTTAACTCCCCCTGTCAGCCAGAGATAACCTTCTATTTTGTCTACATGGTAAATCTAGACGGGGGACAACAGCAAACAAAGCTACACCTCTTCTTCCCATTGTATGTTACCTGATGCAGAGTAGTAAAGAGCCGTTACAAGGAAATGGTTGAAAAAGAGAAGACCATCTGTTAACAGAGGAAAAGAAAAGGCCACGGATTTTATTCTCAAAGGACAGTTGATGAGTTTATACCGAAGCACTGGAAAGGAAATTGCGTACTGTATATTGGGAAACATACGGTGGTTTTATTTTCGCGGTTTTTGTGGTGAGCTCTCACAGTGAACTTGTCATACCACAAACATGTGCTTTGTACTTCTATTCTTACTGTCTTGTTTCAACTGCAAGCTTAAATAAACACTGCGAATGCCTCCTTTTCCCTTCTACTGCAAAATGAAGCCCCTGCAATCTTAAAACAAGTTTTTCTATGATTGTATACAATTTTTGGGGGGGTAAAATTGAAGTGTACTATAAATCTGAGACCCCAGGTATCTACAAGATATACCCCCAGAGAGGAAGTCCTTTAGTACATGTACACAAAACTGTTGTATGTCTGAACAGATCTAGACTTGTGTGCTGAGACATTTGACAAACAGCGCTTCCGTTTTCTTGTTTGCCTCTCCACAAAGGACTAAGGTTGCTTTGTAAGAGAAACTCGGTTGATTCTGACCGGGAGCTAACATTTGACAAAGGGTAGAAAGTAACCAGCAAGGTTAGCACTGTCAGTTCTGGCAGAAAGACAGGACAAAGCACATGTCACCTGTGGTTTGTCCGTGATGAGAAAGGTTTCCCACCTGTGGTAGATGTGGTTAGGTGTAAGGTAGTAGTAGTGATTGGTTTATTGTTAAAACACAGTAGATCGGGCTTGCAGCCACAGCTGAATTATGTCAAGCTTTACAATAAAAATTCAACTACAGTAAAACCAACAATAATCATAACAATATGTACAAGTAACTTGACTGTCAAGTAAACTGAGTAAAGTTGTGAATCAGGGTACTGTACAGTGTGACATGCACTGGAAAGGTATAACTATAAAAGTGAGAACTTCAGGAACTTGTGTCATTGACACTTGAACAAGCAGACAAGGCGAAACCAGTCGTGACTGGGTGAATAAAAGTTCTAAATGGGAACTATGCTGCTCCAGATGTCTTACTGAGGAACGACTGCGTTGTGCTAGATGTCGGTTAGCTTCAGGAATGAATCCACTCTACTTCATAATTAATAAGGTGTTACACCTGTTAACAAGATAAAAGAAGAACAAGAAAAAAGTTACGATAACTTTGCTACCAGAACCTGAAATTAGAGTCTGTAAATCCTACCGAGCACATTTTTTCACAGCAGTTAGAAATCATGCTGCGATTTTGAAAATTGCATGCTGAACTCTTGTTTCTAGTTTCTCAAGATATTTTTTACACGCACAGTAGCCATGCATGTCACTTGCTGGCACAAGAAAACAAGACTTAATGAAATCCTTCTTTACGGCAAAGAAGCAACAAATTGCCCATAAAAAGAATTCTGTCTACTTTCCCAGCAAAAATAGCCAAGTGCTTGTTTGTAGTCACATACCTTCTACAACCACATCAATTACCCTTCAGTTGTTTAAAAGCTCCAGGGCAAGGTATCCCAAAAATGTCCATCTTCCCAAAAAAGATAACAGGCTGTTACATGTATGCGTGAAAAAATTCATAAAACCAAAGGCTTTTACTAATAATGTCAATGACTGCCCCTCCTGATATAAGAGTTAGTCCAGTGCCTTTCCTACCACCTGGTTTTCCTCTCTGATCAGTATTTCAACGTATCATAGCACAAGTCTGACAATAACTGCTACAACTCTCATATTTTCATGACAACATAACTATCGTACAGATATGTGTTTTGACGTACTTTTCTTTTAACTTCCTATAGTCTAAGGCTAATACTGTCTTTGAATAGAATTCAGACTTAACCTGCTCTTACTAAACCATCTAAAGTATGAGATGCATGCCAGGGCTCCCCTCATGGTCTATCCCATTCACGCAATCTTCTCATGGGCTATTTTAAAACGGAAACCTTAAGGGACACAGCCAAGGATACAACTTTGCAACCTGTTTGGAAGTTATCTTACATCAGATACAAATGAGCTATGAAATTGCATGAGCATCAATTAACACCTGTTAAGAATTTAAGAATTGTAGACTTTCAATTTCTTTTTCTCTTTTAAGCTGGTAGACATGTGTATATAAAACCAGTGCAGGTGCAGGTTAGGTGCAGGTAGACATCAGAAATACCTACACAGCTCCAATTTTATCTACACTAACCTGCAAACGCAGGTGGTATTTTGAGTGTGTAGATTCTATATAAAGACAGGCAGTGGACAGTGCAGAAAAAGCATTCTAATCCCTGATGACTGCAGTTTCTATATTGGGACAGACAAGAGTGTCCGTGATTGTCCAAGTTTTTACAGTGTTACCTGCATCAGTGCAGGTATGCAGAAAAAAAGTATTTAATCCCTGATGACTGCAGTTTCTATATTGGGATAGACAAATGTGTCCCGAATCTGTGATTGTCCGCGCCGTGGTTACGGAGATGAAGTGATCTCTAGTGATCCAACTCATACAATACAGTTTAACAAAGTAAAACTTGCATGAGGACATTTATGCAATGTCAATGTTGGAAAACCAATTGTACAACATTTCATCACTCAGGTGTCAGATCATGGAGCTAGAAAAGGTCGATCAGCTTGAAAAATTTATGTCCTTTGCATGCTAGGGGTCCACAAAAAAGGCATGGGTCGGCATTTTTTTCTAGGTTCAGTCAGGAAACACAACATTTTTTTTTCCTGAGCCTGACTATCCCGAGCCCGTGTCAGTCCGTGCCTGACAGGTTACGGAGACGCGGATCACCTGGCGGATCCACACGAGGCTCGCCGCTCTCACACTCCAATTAGACACATTCCGTGCCATCAAATACGTGTCTGGGGCGCATGTCTCCTGCCAGGTGAGTGGAAAAGCATGTGAAACATCCCAAATCCCCTTTCACACTGACTCTCCCCTGTCAGCGCTGCAGAAGCACCCTTAAGTGGCCATCAATCTGTGTTGACAGGTCTCCGTCTGGGCTTAGGAGGGAGTTAGAGAGATATACATACCCCCCTCCCACTAGATATGGCTATGTACCTTTAAACTTCAACTCTAAGCCACCCTACCCTGCCCTCGGGCTTGGACAAGCATCTCGATTCACAGGTTCTTATCTTAAGCCTGTCCAATACCGGACATAAGCCGCACGCCATCGTTTAAGCGTGCATGTGGGCATGGGTGTACGCGTTTAAATGGCTATTAATGTAGGATACTGAACTGGGTAACGGAGCGAAATCTCTCTCAAATCCGGCATGACAGCCTAGCAAGGAGCCGGAAATATGTGACTAGGAGAGATCTCTGAGAGGGATTACGGCATAATCTACACACTGTCTAAACATCCTCCTACAAGTCTTACCACGAGTGCTAGCAGTGGAACGGTTGACCTGGTTTAAGCAAAGTAGGGTAGAACTCCATAGTCAGACTACCCTTTACATACCTCTACCATAAACTTGTATTCAGAATTTAGGGCAGGATATCAACTCTGACAAATGAGAAGATTCAACAAATATGTGTAACAGAGAGGTCCCCTGAGCTGTTTCATACGTACTGACTGCATGACCAACCATACAGCAAAAGAAGACTTTTTTTAAATGGCCATGCTTCCAGTCGTCCTCAACACTTGCCAGACACTGCTGACTGCAGTATGGAGGCCACTGGGCCAACAGTGTTGCTCCCTCTAGCAGGCCAAAAAGGTACTACATCTGTCAAGCAAACTACTGTGGCAACAGTTTCAACTTTCAACTTGTTGGTCAGAAAGAAATCATAATGCTATTACACAAAAAATCTGCATGTTTCGTACAAAAGTACATTCAAATTCATTCTAAGTTTGTGGCTAACTGCTTCAGTTTGTACAAGAGTAAAGTGTAATCATGGATTTAAGCTCATAAATATCAAAGCTTTTAACGGTTCAACAAATATTATGTACAGGGCAGGGCTCTAGCCAGCTCAAGTTTTTTTCCTGTCATCCCATGTTCATGCTTGGACCTGCGGGGAGTGCTCACAATCTAGGGGAGTTTCACACATTTTGAGATGCAAACCATGGGGTTGGGAGTGGTTGTTGATTGTCCATTGGATGCATGTTTTTATACTATCCAAGATTTTTCTCAATTTTGTCCATCAAGCTGAAGGTTGACAGAATGGTTTCAAAATGTTTCCGTTTCATGCCACAAAGTTCCTACAATTGACAGAAAAACGGGTGCTGGCTAGAGCCCTGACATTGGGACAGAATATTACAACTTACCTCCGTTCACTTGCGATGCAGTCACATCACCGGTGTCTGCCACTGTACCGACACACTGCTTCTGTTATGATGTACATTGCCTCTCACACCGATTCATACTGATTCTGTAAAGAAAGGAAATACACCCATAAGAAACAGCATGGCATTAGTCTGTTTTCTTCAAGCAAATGTTGCTACGATCGAATACATGCCTCTGGCATGCATGGTTCCAACTTCTGTTCAAGCTAAGACAGTTGCTCCCTCTAGTGGCTACTGATTGAAATACAGTTTGCACTGCATGGATTCAAACCCAAATGTATGCCAAAAGCAGCACAAAGTTGCTTCTAAGAAGTTTTGTGATTCTCAATTACTGCAACTTGTGTTATAAGGAATTCCGGTATGACCAATTTTGCAACCTTCAGCTTCATACACCTGTTTTGTACCAGGCCTGTGGCATGGTGGCAGCTGGCTATGTTACACTGAACAACCTGTTACAACTATTGCATATCTAACTTTTATCATCCGACTGATCATTTGTGCATGCCTGAGTCAGAAACTCCTCAGTTCAGGGGTTTACATCCAGCTGTAATACAGTAAACAGCTGTAAACATGTAGTAAAAATGTTAGAGTTTACATCTAACTGTAGTGTAATTCGTAAACATCTAGTAATAATGCCCCTACTGTAGGTTCCACTCTATGGTAGTGGAACCTACAGTAGGGAAAAAACAGAAAAAAGAAAAAACCAGACTCACCAAATGTTGTTATAGGTTCAGGAGGGTACACCAGTGCCACACTGACGTCCACGCCGTCACCCTTGGGGCACCTGACGGTGGCGGCAGGCTGGCGGGGCCTGGGGAGGGTGAGGAGTTTCCCGGGGAACTCGTGTGGCTCTGCTGCGCCCTGCTGCAGACAGTGTGGACACACCACGTGGAGGGACTGCAGCATCCCCGGCCACTCCTGCAGCAGCGCACACAGCTCCCTCACCAGGGGTACCACGGCCTGCCACGCTGACCACGTCGTCACCTGCAGGGGTGCAGGGGAATATCCGTGAATTAAGCTTCACCAGGTTGGTAAGTCACTGAACAAAGAGACTATTTTACACAACTAAGTGTTAAAACTTTTATTCAGCCAGCCTGATTTTTTTCAGTCTGTATAATTGTAGGTTGTTTAAATTCCAAGCTTGGGTGACAACCATTGGTTTTGTAATACATGGGGTTCCTTGATCTTGATCTTCTTGATCTTGATCTTGAAAAGGTACTGTGTAACACGCCTCTATTGGGGTAAGACACACAGGGGGAGTGCACTGCTCCCTTAAGTGTAGTAGTACTAGTACTATTTGCACTCACTAATCCAAAATTTTTATTCTGGTACAAAACAAGTGGCTCCCAAGCTATATTTTTTCTTCTGCCATATAATATTAGAAATGTCTCTGCAAAAAGCAGACAGCAGGTGGGTATTTCTAACACTGACCTGGGTCATCTTGGTGGTGAGAAGGAGGCAGGTCAGGTCTTGTGACGTCCTCAGTTCCACCAGGACGGGGACCTTCCCGCGGTACACGATGCAGCTGTTGGACACGTCCATTCTGTGGACGATGTGGGGGTGCACGGTGGCCGTGAACCTCTCGAACAGGCCCGGCGGGCAGAAGTGCCAGACACAGCACTTAATCTGCATGGTTTCGATCTGCACTGTGGTGTGGTAGTAGGGTAGGGTGAGTCTCAGCCCTGTGTGGCAGCCAAGCTTGTGTCTGAACCACGGAACAGAGTAGGAAACCAGGTCTTTTCCTGTTGTGTCCGGTTGTTGTTGTTGTGGAGTCCCGTCTTCTGAGTCTCCCATGGCAGCACTACTGTGGCTTGGGTGGTAGGGAATGGGGAAGAACATGCCCAAGTCACAGAGGAACCTGCCCACCACTTCTTGTGGCTCTGTTAGTCCTGCTTCCTGCAGTACTGTGTGCAGAAGATAGGGGGACACCACACCATTCTGTAGCAGATCGTCTGTCACCAACTGAACAGCAGAAGCAGGCGTGTTGTTGGGACGTGGAGTTGCTCGTTGTTCCAACTGTACCCTAAGAGCATGAGCGAACAAACAGTTGAACAACTTGACGAGATTAACCGAGGTAGGGATGACATACTTCCTGAGATGGGGGTTGTTGTTTCCGAGGTACAAGACGGAGCCTCTGTCTTCCAGCCACTGTAGCACCTCCGGCCGTTGCCTCTTTGGTACCCCCGCGATAGCAGCCATGCTGTGGAAATCCTCCAAAGTGATAAACAAGCTTTCCTGTCTCTCCTTTATCATGTCCTCCAGATGGACCCACGTTGTGTGCACTATAAGGCAGCTGTTTCGGAACAATTGCACGTTGCTGTACAAATAAGGCAGGAGGTCTTGGATGTGTTTGATACCCCTCTGGTCATCACCAAGGTTGACGGGCAGAACAGCTGACAAGACCCTGTTCTGACTGCTCTGAAAGTACCTGGGTCTTCTCGTGGGGCTTGACGGTGAAGGCACATTGCTTTCCTGCAAGAACTCTTCCATGCTGTTTGCAATGCTGAGGAGATGTGACTTTGTCTTCATGTCGCTGAACATTTGTGCTATCTTCTTGTGAATGTCCAGACTTCTACCTTCAACTTCATCTCCCTTGCACCGGTCTACATGGGTCCCTACGATGCACACACAGGCATAAGGCACTCTTGCAATGATGACACTCAGCCAGAACCCCACGTCGTCCCAAAACGTGGAGTCCTTGTACTCGTAGAGATTAACGACTAGCAGGTAAAGGCAGTTTTCTGTGAAGAAGAATTGCTGTGCAAAGTGGTACAGGGCGTGGCCTCCAAAGTCATACACGACCGTGTCCACACGAGTGCCTGAGTCAAACGTCATGGTTGATATGTCGAGGAATTTGGACAACGTTGTCGAAGGCACGTCGAGATTGCCATTCAAGGAATGTTTCAGCTGGGTCTTACCTGAACGCCTCCTCCCCACGAAGGCAAGCTTGAATCTCGGGGTGACAGGGACCTTCACTCTCTGCAGCTCTTCTTGAAAAGCTGCGATGGCCTTGACACCATTTGTACAGACCTCCAGCGGAGGTTGCAGCAGGGGGTTCTCGCGTACATCCAGGCAGTCGAGGTTCGAGAGGTTACCAAAACCCTCCGGCAAACACTTCAGCCTGTTTCCCTGGACGGATAGCTCCTCCATGTTCACCAGCGTGGTGACGGAGTCGGGAAGGCTTTCCACGTTGTTGTGATCCAACCACAACACTCGGAGGTGCTGCAAGAGGCCTATCTCCTCTGGGATATGGGACAGTCTGTTCCTGCTCAGAAACAGCTCCTCTACTCGATCGAGCGCCAGCACCGCGTGGGGGAAAATCTCGTAGCAGTTGAAGCCCAGGTTAAGAACCTTCACCCTTTGCAAGTGTTTGAAGTCACAGGGAAGGTTGTGCAGCTTGTTGTTGTCCAAGATGAGTTCTTCTAGCAGCACGAGTTCTTGGATACAGTTAGGGAGGAGGGTGAGGCCGTTGCTGCTGAGCCAGAGCACTTGTAGGTTTGTGAGGAAGGCAATGTTGCATGGCAGTGGTCCTGAGATTGCAGTGTTGTGGCTGAAGTCGAATTCGACCAGCTCTCTTAGTTCAAAGACTTGTGGGGGAATGTAGGGAATTTTGTTGTGATCCAGGTCTAGAGTCCTCAGCCTTTTCAGCTGGCCAAACTTGGCTGGGAGGTAGGTGAGGTAGTTATAGCTTATGTCCAGCTCTTCTAGCAGGGAAAGGTCACATATACCATTGGGCAGCACCTGGATGTAGTTTTGACTTAGGAAAAACTTCTGCAGCCTCTTCAGGTGGCTGATCTCTGCTGGAATACTTTTGAGCTTGTTGTAACTGAGGTCCAGTTCTGTCACTCTGGCCAAGTCTAATATTTGCTCCGGGAAACTCGCAAAGCTGTTCTTCTTCAGGTCCAGTATGCCCAGGTTGGTCAAATAGTGGCTGAACCCAGCAGGCAGTTCCCTCAAGTTGTTTCCGCCAAGGTCAAGTACATGTAACTCTGCCAGCTGGGTGAGTTCCGAGGGAACCCTCTCCAGGCCCTTGTCCCACAGCGAGAGCTGCCACTGCTCCTCCAGGGCGATCCCTCGGCACATTAGCTCCCTTAGATACTCTGCCTTCAACTTCTTCTGGTCTCCCTCGCTCGCTGTCATCTTTCTTCAGTAGATCAACAGCGAGCAGGTGATATGTAGGGGAAGGAGATTGTCTTCAGCTTATAATGTTCTTCTACATCATGTATAGTATACTGGAGCTTCCATCTTCATCCAGCAGGTCCCCTTTCATGTCTGATTGCCTGACAGCTGCTCCTGGACCTATAAAAGGAAGAAGACAAATAACCTTAATTGATTTACAGACTCTGAGGTGCAAAGTGCCTGTATGGAGTTTCCCTACCTTAATTGGTTTGACACTTCAGTGCAAAAGTGGCTGGGTGCCCAGACTGCTCACAAGGTCTGTGACTTTGCTAGGGATATATTATAAACTGGTAAAGAAGTATGGACAAAATTCTTGAATACTGGGTAGATAGTCTAGGTGCTAGTCAACCTAGGACTGTGCATACTCTGTGTGGTGCAATGGTAAATACAGATGAGTGGTTTGTTTTCGTGGGCAAACAATAATGAATGCAACAAGGCTATAAGTATTCATGTTGATTTATTTAACAGCCTAATGTAAATTTGCTAATCAAACATCATTAATGTGTAATGTGCTTGGGCATAAACGTATTCCTCGCATTCTGTTGGAATACTATAACATTGGCTTTGGAAAATGGCTTAAGATACTACTAACATTAAACATTAACAGGTATTGGAAAATGGCAGGCAACACAGATAACATGCCAGGGTAGTTAGTCCACTATATATAGAAAGGAGTGCAGTTTACCACTCTGAATTCCTGAAACTACTCTTTGCAGCTCCCTCTGAAGCCTGGTAGAGGCTACTGCTCCTCCCCTCTATTTGGGTTTGTTTACATTTCCATCTGACCTCCCCACCCCAACCCCATTATATTATGATGATAGCCCATTACTGCCTCGTTAGACTTCAGCATACATACGTACATGGACCTCATAAATATTTCATGCCCATACTTTTCCTGGGGCAACTTTACAGGGAAAACGGGAAGGTCATGTTTTCTACTGTGGCCGGGACATTTAGACAGCTGTACACAGTAGTTGGTGGAATTTATCAATATATGTATCAGTTGTAAATGATACCGGCAGTTGTGATAATCTTATCGAGACCCTGTCCCATGGTGATAATTCTAAGTGCCACGAATGACGGGCATTTTCACACGACCGCAAACCTGGTAATAAATCTGGAGTGGACTGAATTGTTAACGAAGTTAAAAGAGAAAAATATCAAAATTTGAAGCCACAGTTTTTTCAGAAAAAGGAAAATTTGAATTTTCCTGGAGAATCATGATTCTAGATGTTCATTGTCTATGCGATACCGGAAGTCTTAAGATATACATATTGTATATGGCCATCTGTAAAAATTTTCCACACCCCGCCCCCATAAATTATCAAATAGCTAGTTTTGGAGCTACAAGAGTATCTTTAGGCAGGCAATAGCCCCTAGAAACTGTTCTTAATCTAAGACAAACATCCACCAGCCCCTAAGCATACAAATTCCCCACATGCCAAGAGTCTACATCACCCAAACAAATCCTGAATCATGTAGACCATTTGCTGGTTCTAGGTGTTGGCAGCTCAAAGCCCAGCTGTGCATGATTATAAGATTCCCTCTAAAAATGTATGGAAAATTTCCTGTTATAGGTAAAGATATCTCTGTTGTGTAAAATGATATTAACGACCATACTGTGATAGAGTCAATATCAATGGTATTAAATGGTATTCAGCGGTCGTAAGGGCAATGATGTCAACCATACACAGATACAGCCTAATGTGGCAGGTGACGAGCAAAAATGCACTGCTGACATACACCAGATTACACACTATGTCATTTAAACCAATAAAGTGTACTACAAATGCTTTCAAAACTGTTCAACATTGTCAGAGAGATAAGAGACAGTAGCTTTACCTTCAACAGAAGAAATCACCATGTACCACCTGTGTTCTATTAGCAGTACTCCACAGTGAAAAATCTACCATGACGGGAAAGTCATCCTTGGTCATACCAACAACTGAATAAAATCAGGACCAGTTTCATGGAGCTAAAAATCCCCCATAGGGCCCTTGTATCTGGGAACCATCCAAATGACAGATTCTGAGTCAAATTTTGCCAGACAACAAAGTCTGAGGATCAGGATGACTGGCTATAGCTAGGGAAGTCAGAGCACAAGATATCCTCGTGGGATCCTCCACTGAGTCATCCTCTTCCTGTGTGATAAAAAAAAAAAATCTGGCAACTTCCCCTCCCCCATGGCAGGGTACAGACAGTTCTGAGAGGCCGCCACTTACCCGTTCCTGGCACATGTGTACCTGACCTACATAAAGTCACATTGGTCCAATGGTAGGACAAATGCCAAACTGAACTTGCAGCATGTGAGGGTTGGCCCTTGGGAGGTGTGGGGGAAAACTTGACCTCGGAACTAGTGTCAGCAAGATTAATCATTATAATACTTATTGTACATTTTGTATATGAATATGAAATAATGAGTCTGGGAATATTGCTATGTTTTATAATATGCATATTATATGCATATCTAGACACATGTATTTCTCAATTTCATGCTTAGCTAACATTGACGTAAAATGTTGTGCTGCACTGTACTTCATTTTGACACATCATAATATACATAACGTTATACTTGGGACTAATTTTCTGGCTTTTAGAGTTGAAAGCAAACTGCAATGCTTTATTTTGGATTACCTATAGTACTAGATGTTTGAAAGGCTTAGATTTTAGGAATCTAGAACAAGTTATCCAAATGTGATATGCATACATTCCTCTGCATCTTAATGGTATGGTTCAAGGTCAGGTCATGATGGCTGGTTTAAGGCCCTGACCCTGACTGGAAAAATGTGGCAGCACAACTGAAACCATATGGAACTTTTCATTTGATTTACTTTGAATCTGTGTATCAAAGGAAGGAACCAACTTGTAAGCGCATTGACAGACATGTCCCTTACCATTCTGTGGTAACAATTACAGATTGTTAGGTGCTAATTACATTGTACTAGTAGTAGTATTCATCTTTACCTAAAAAACATGATACAAAGGAGGGTCATTGAAATGCATATACACGTATGTAGTCAGAATGACTATGCATACATTATTCAAAACAGTAAAAAGCAAAAGAACATTACACATAAGCCTTCTAATTTTGAACAAAAACGGCACCAATCAGCATATGTGAATAAAGTACATACAAGTAACGGATGTTCAGGCATACGTTTCTAATATTGCCAAGTGTGAGTCATACCTTTTGGCCGTCAGGTCATTATGTCCCACAGTCCCATGGGAATTTCACCTGTTCTGCACAGGTGTATATATGCAAATGAGGTGTGCTATTTTGAGCATTATAAAAGCAACATAGACTGTTAAAAACAATGTTCTATCTGGGGGTACTACTAAGGAGGTCAAATGGGAATGAACCTACAAAGTTAATGCCATTACTATTTAGTGAAGAGTATTTGGAGGGTGTGAAATTTGTAGGCCACTCGAGATGTGGGTCACTGTGTGTGTGTATTTTTGGTTGTAGTCAAACAGCAAATTAAGACTGCTGCCACAAAGAGCCGGGTCAGAATTCTGGATACCAAACGTAAACCCAACACCAAACCCTTTGAGTTGTAAGAAATAAGAGCTGCTAGTGAGGTCCAAGATGGGGTACTATAAATAACATGAGGCTTTTTTTGTTGATCTTTAAATCTTAAAGGCATTTTCAGTATGTCAGTTGTGTCAAAATAATGACACAAAAGAGGGTAACAGGACATAAATTTCCCTTCTGTTTCTATATAAACTCTGACAGCCCATCAGTCAGTACTATCTGGTCCCAGCGATCAGACTGTCGTGTCCACCTTTGCTGCCAATCATTCCACTACCCCATGCCAGCCCCCATTCCTTATGTTTCAAGATGAAGCATTTCGTCAATTTCTGTGCATTTTACCTACGTTATACTTCATATCGTGAAAGATATAGAAGAAAACAACGAAATCATATTCCATTTAACTGATTTGAAGGCAAAACGCGAGCCCACAACGATCTAAAAGACCAGGCATCCGTCACTTGACGCCATCAAAACAAGAATCGCTACCTGAGAAAAATTTTCAGACGACGCGAAGGTTTCCCCGCCCTTTCTGAGGAAACTCTCCTCAGATATCTCTCCTACGCCTGCTCAAACTGTACCTACCCACGTTGTAGATAATAAACGCACCGTTACAAAAAGCCCGGAGGCAAAACTTACCGGTACATAAAAGGAAAAGGCGGTTTGCGCGAGCGACGGCCGCTTTGCAGGAACCGCCATTTTTTGACGTCTGTCGAGGTTAAAGTTCAAGCCGAGGGTCGGTAAGAAGTGACAGACGCGGGGGTCGGGTTTCACAAAGACGTGCTTCGAAGGAGAACAAAAGTCAACTTCAGCAAAATATCATTTTACAAAGGCTATTAGGATATAGGTTATCACATTATGCACTCAAATACCGATTTTGCTCTTTCCTTTATATTGAATGATCCGTAATTTCGAAGACCAGAGAGATAACGTTAACGTTGCATTGTACTTTACTTCCTACTTAATAGTGGTACCGTCGTAGTTACAAGGTCAAGTACACTATTTCATCTACTTTGCCCATGGCTCGTCAAAAAAATTTTCTCCTTTATTTCATCAGAGTTAATGTCGAACAATTATGAATCGTGATCTGTCAAATTTCAGACTTTAAATTTCTTTCCTTTGATGTAGAAAGAAACGGCATAGTCAAGTACACGTAACGTTAATTAACGTTAACGTTAACAATGTGATGCTACTTTGGAAAATCAGCGTATCTCTTTTACAAACTTCAATAATGTAAGTAGATTGAAAAACATATTACAATCATTCTGTAATTCCGTCAAAATTGGTATTTGTTACTTCAAAATGTTACTTACAAGAAGAAGTACTTCTTCCACATGTATCACCTATAAAAACGCTGTACTTCAAAATAAGTCTGAACACCGAAGCTACTTTACTACGTATACTTCAGTGTTTTCTTTGGATGAATGTTACTGACCTAGAATTGGTATAACCAATTTGAAAGGTCCTTGTTAACGTTGGCAGCACCTTTCACCTTGCAGACTTGCCGTCTCCACGTCGGAATTTACTATGGCAGTGTAAACTGAGGAGAAGACGGGGATAAATAGTCTGTAAATAGCCTGTAGGGAGGTCTGACGGAATCCTGAACACGTGAACCTGACATGACCAGCCGTGGATAAAGAGGACTGGCGCAAAGCCCGGTACTTCCAATGACTTAGCGCGCCCACCGCTCGGTCAACTTACGTCAAAACAAGTAAATGTTATAGCAGCCTTGACACGTTCGGTCGTTTAATATAATGGCTCCAAGGGTCCCCAATAAAAAGAATAGTGGTGTAAAGGGGGGGGGGGTTAAATGCGAGTTCACATATTTGCGCCACATGTTTGTAAATGGGACACTTGGAACTTGATATTCCCCTAAAGCAGCTACTCAGAAAAAAGCAATATTAAAGACGACGACATTTGTGGTATTGGTATATTACCGACGCGACAAATCATTTTGAGAGTGAGATCCTAAAATTTATAGTGCCCTATTCGTGACTCTTAGCTGTCAAATATCAAGTCTATATGCCATAAATAATGACCCTCTTTGGCATTCACACTGACAATGACAGGTGTGTTACTGGACTGCAATCCCCCGGGTCCGTGGGAACCATGCAAATCACATGTATTATAAGGACTAACAATATTGAAACATACATCGGGCTTCCTTCTGATATAATACGTTTTTCTGAAATCGAAGGTTATTAATCAACACCCGAGACATGACTCAATATGAGTTTCACAACAGAGTGCGCACCAGAAAAACTCGACGAGGTCAATCGACCCACATACTAGAGAGAAGGATTTCCGATAAAGCCGGGTGCTCCCACAACTTCAAGGTAATCCCAATGGACTTCTAGTATTTTGCCCGTCTGGCGTTTGCTGCAATATTATGAGATGTGACAAGCGTTCGAACATACCTTTCCGATGCAGCCAATATCTACGTATGAAATAGTGTATAATGCGGACACTGCCCTCTAACAGTAACACCAACACAATATCCGATATCTGTTGTCTGTCATCAAACTACATCCGACAACAGAATTTTAAGTCCTTAATACACAAACATAAGAGCGTAATATTACAATTTCAATTTATTCTTGTCTTATAATTAGGTGAAACATTGCCAAATCTGGAAAGCCAGTTCTCTCCAAACATGCACGATTAAAAATTTTGGCGCTGTTCTATATAACGTTATATAGCAAGTAATGGTGTGTATGTTTTCCAGTGACTTTCTAGCATTTCTTCCGTGACATTTCGGTAGGCCATTATAGGACATGAATTAGAATCGCCGAATTGGTATGGGCATATTTGGTAATACATCACAGTGCTAGTAGTAATGATTTCATAAAGAAGGAAACTCAATTTCCTCGCTGCGGAATCTGTCTGCAAAGTATCGTCTGATGGCCTCTGATCTTATCACTTGACTCATCATGCCCTTTTTGAGACGTGATCTTCCTACAAATCTAATTACGCTGATCGATTTTAGTGTTTATTCAACTGGGGACACGGAAATAGTAACGGACATGGATCGGCCTAGTTCTGTATCTGTATCTGTATAGCCGGTATAACCGCCCTTCGGCGTAACACACCAGCTTCGCAGGCACGCGGCGCGGCGGCAGCTGGCTACATTACAGCGAACGATTTGTTACACCTAAACCTTGAACATCTAACTCTAAACATTGTTTAGAGCTATCTAATGATAATGCAATCTAATGATGTACAAATGTAGTTCTTTTTCCTTCGCGAATAATCATTTTGGTCAGCGAGTAATAAATACAATCACGGTAGCCAATACGCCAATAACAAACTCGGAAGAAAAAGAAAATTCTGCTCCAGCTTCAAACATGGATTATGTAAATTAGGTAAACATCAATCGGTGTCATTATTAGCTATAGTTACAGCAAGGGGGTTTAAAATCAAGATTAAGACCACGGCAAGTAATTTTTTAACGGATGACATCAGCGCGCGCATTAATTTTCGCCTGATCTTGGAGAAAAAACAACAAATTTAATTTTTTTGTCATGCTATCTGACAGTGGTCAACATGCATGCCGAAAATGGGCAAAGATGTCTGTTGCCATGCCAGAACGTGGATGGTACAAATGTACTAGTAGTAGATAAATATGAAGAGAGGAGACAAGACAAGGCTTTGATTTATTGTTTTATCTTTTACAGTTTCATGCATGACTTGTACATATGTAGCTAGCTTGTAATGGCATGGATGTACAGTAATGGTTTTTCATTCATTCATTATGATCTTTTCTATCACCACCCTTTAATATTTATTGTCCGTGGGCCATGGGGTGAAGTTACCTCTACCAGGCATCGGGAGACGGCTGGAAAGAGTAGAAATTGGCCAAATAGAGAGAAGAGAGAACATGCCGAGGAAGTTGGTCCGCTAGAGGGTGCGGCAAATAAAAATGCACTCTCCAGTGGACCAACTCCCTCGGCATGTTATCTCTCTATTTGGCCAATTTCCACTCTTCCAGCCGTTTCCAGAAGCCTGGTAGAGGCTAAAGGAAGTCTGCCATCTCTGCTTACCAGTTTCCGCTAGGTGGCGCTGCAGCTCAGTCGTTGTTTTCCCCTACCTCATGACGTCATCTCTCAGCGCGCATGCCCACAGCTAATATTTCCCTCGCGCTTCCACCATTTTGTGAATGTTCTGAGGAAAATGTCGCGATACAGCCGACCTCCTAACACCTCACTCTACGTCCGGAATGTCCCCGACGGGACCAGGTAATGCCGCTGATTACTTAGACAACAACACAGGGAACCTATTGGGAAAATTTGGCGGGCGTGTCTTGCGTTAAAAGCGAGATTTCTATGTTTGAAAACATGTGCCCCAAATGGCGCGCCCGCCCCTTTGTTACTAGTATCTACCCCTAAAGAACAAATTAGACTAAGGTTAGTTCGCTTCTGTGACCATTACAGGTCGATGTACAGTGAATATACTAGTTTTCAGCTCAGAAGATAGTGCCAGGCACATATTCTGACGGAAACGATGCTTGTTTATGGGGTTTTACGGCATCTTAAATGGGGGAGAAAGAGAAGAATGCCCGAGGAATTTGAAACGTGGCTGGCGTGTACCCTAAGTGGGGGTGACCGCCTGGCGTTGACCCCGAAAATCACAGCCACACGTTATACGGGATCAAATGAGTCTAGTCTCGTGGATATTCATAAATTATTTGAACTCGAGCAAGATAGAAAAACAACGAAATATTAAACTTCTGGTGGATTTTTAAATCACCCATACTTCTAGCTGGTTAAATTTAATATATTTAACGTTAGTATCTGATTGACAGGAAACAAAAGCCTGTTTTACTTTCGCCCACTCATACGCACCCGTCTTTTGCTTGTTTGTTTGTTTGCTTGTACATGTACTGTATTCTTACTTGGTGATTTCGAAAATTAGAACTGGTTCGGGAGTTAGAGTAATGAAGCATATTTTTCAAATAATTAAAAAAATATATTTTTGTCACAGTCGCCCCATTTCCCACAACATGCCCCAGGACGTCAGAAAATGTATGCAGCGAGCAGGGCTCGAAATACTTTCTTCTGTTACCTGCAAATTTTCAAGTTGACTGGAAAGTGGAATTTTAACTGTAAATTCTGTTTCAAACATCTTGCTGCAAATACTCTAGCTGCTGTTAAATATATGTTCACTGTGATGCCCCTACTTCTACTATAGCATAGCTTTGTAAATTAAGGCTGTTGATAATGATTTTTCTCTAACTAAAGTTCTACAGCAAATAATTTTGTGTTCAAGTGGGGCAGCTCCCTGGTATTCAAGCAATTAAAGAGAATTGCAAGTTGTTAATATTTTTGCCTGCACGTGCAGGCTTCAGGTATGTACGATGTATTTCGAGTCCTGATTATTTTTGTAGGTATGCACAGACCAGGTCTTAGTACATGTAGATGTTGTACTTTTCAAATCTTTACCAGGGCTCGAAATACTGGGCGCATGTGTGCCTTGGTGCACCCAAATTTGGAACCGTGCACCAAATATTTTCGTAGGTTTACGTATGTTAAGATGTTAAATGTAAGGTAGTATACAGCATATCTAAGGGTCGAAAAGTAATAAAATCATTATTATAATACATTTATTTAAAAATGAAACATAATTAGTTGTTGCTGACATTCTACTGAAATGGTGCACCCAAAAATTTTTTGTGCACCCAATTTTTTAGGTTGGGTGCACCAGTGCACCCTATTACCCAAAATGAATTTCGAGCCCTGATTTTACTGTATGGATGGAAGAAGTACTCCTTTCTTCATTCTTGCTCTAGACCTGACGAACTGCGTTCGTTATTTGGGAAATACGGACCCATAGTAGATGTGTACATTCCCTTGGATCACTATACACGCCACCCCAGGGGCTTTGCATATGTGCAATATCCTTTCTTAGTGCTGAACTGTAGACACAATGTATGCTTTTACATATGTCTTACGTTCTTTGCTAAGAAGCACTGTTGAGTTTCCTTTTTCGTTTTAGGCTTTGAAAGAATATGAATTTAGCTGTCACACATATAGTTTGAACTTTCCATTATGTATTTGCCATTAAGCTGAAAATCTTCTGTTCAAATGAAAACATTTTGTAGTATTTGTGTTGTGTGACCGTTTAATGAGAAAAAAATGTATGAGCAAAAAACTCAAGTGCTTGCACACAAAAATTGGGCACTATTTTTTACTGTTACTGGAATACAAATAAAACATGATTTTAGTACTATTGTAGTTATTCTGGGTTCTAAAGTAATAGATTGTGATTGAAAGTCAGTACAAAGACACTCTTAATTGTAAACAGTACTTCTTTTTCAGCTCATCTGAATACAAGATAATATGTAGCAGGTGAAAGTTTCTCTGAATGTGGATGTTGCCAAATTGTTCCAGATCAAGTTTTAGAAAAAGAACAGTTGATGACCTGATTGAATATGTACATGTCGGGTCTTTGTAGTTGTTGCACTTTCATCACCGTTTGGAAGATATATGCCTTTTTCCTTCATGCCCTAGACCCGACGAAATGCGGTCCTTATTTGGAAAGTACGGACCCATTGTAGACGTGTACATTCCCTTGGATCACTTTACTCGACTGCCCCGAGGCTTTGCATATGTCCAATATCCTTTGCTAAGCAGTGAGCTTGTACAAATTGCACATATTAATTTGTTCTTTGCTGAAAAGTGATTGTTTTGTATGTTGAGTTTCATTTTCAGGCTGCGAAGGACGATAAGTAAAGTAAAACTAGTAAATAGCAACTTTTTCTACATTTTGGCCAGCAAAAATTTAAGATGTAACTATTGGTAAGGACTGCATCTTGAAATTATAAAAATATTAAGTGCCGTTGTTGTTTTCTTCCCTTTTTTTAACTAACAATTTAATAATACATAATTAATTGACTGATAACAAGTTTGTTAGTATCAAAAGTCACAAGACTTCTTTTTCAGCTCATCAAGAAGAGAAGAGAATCTTTAGCACTACGTTAGAAATAGTTTGTTAAAGTCACTTTACACGATTTTGTACTAACTCAGTTTGCCTTTTGGTTCTCTTTGTTATACCAGAAGCCAGTGTCAAGCATTTGGGCAAGCTAAAGCCAAAAGAAAAGCAAGCTACAAAATAACCTAACTACCAAGTATGCTAGCCTGGGTGAAGCCACTAAAGCAAGCTTCACAAGCAACCTAAAGGTCTCTGAGGTTCCTCCGCTGTCATCCAAGCAAGTCTTGCAAAGGTTTTCGGCCACTTTGCTAAGGTCCAAGCAAGCCATGGTCTTCGCTTTACACCTCGAGTTTGAATTGGACCGTTTTCTACTTCAAATCCATAACGGTCGAGGGCAAGGTAAGGGGGCAAGGCTCAAGCAATACCAAAGGACTACAAGCAAGCGAAGGCATGGCTGGTGAAAGTGCAAGGGCAAGGCAAAGCCAAAAGGCAAGCAAGGCAAAGGCAAGGCAAAGTCAAGTCTAATACCAAGGGTCCACGTTTCCACAACAAGGTGGGGGTGAAAGCTCTAGTGAAAATTCCACAGCAATTATCTTTTGTTTCTGTATCCAATCATCGTGTGAGAAGTCAACCTTTTTTTTCCTTCTTGCTCCCTTCGAGTATAAAATCTTGACGATATACCAATATACTTGCAGAAAGCATTTTTATTTTCCTCTTGATTTTGAAATTTCTGTCTGCTGATACTGCTTTTGATAGTTAAGTTAAAAAAAGCTGTAGCACAAGACTTAAACTTGGAAAAATGTTTTTGCATGCTGTATACAAATTGAAATATACTGTCAGTTGCATGATATAGAGGAGTTAACTTTTGTTAACTTTTTTGATTCAAAATTAGTAGCAGTTTTACCAATTACTATATTGAGTACAGTTTTTGCTAATATGGAAAGAAAACATGAGTACCAAGGCAAGTTGAAAATGTGTTGCCTATTTTGTATATACCAATGAGGAAGGCATTCACTCAGCACTGTGATTTTTAAGTTCGGGATGTCAGAAACCCCTTAACCAGCTAACGTTTGAAGATGTCAGGGACGCAGAGGATGCCATGTATGGGCTGGACCGATCTCGCTTCTACGGACGAGAGCTGGAAATCCAGTTTGCCGAGGGGGACCGCAAGAGTGAGTATCGTCGCCATTCCAACTCAAATAATGATTATGTATTGTAACAAGTAAATCAGCAGGCAAAGCAATGACAGATATGCTTTTTTTCTGTGTGCTTACAATGCTACATAGCATATATTATTGATGGGAAAATATTAGACTAAAACAAAACAAGAGTTTTTCCTCATCATAATACCTGCTAGGCCTGGGAAAAAAATGTTGTATTAGACATTTCAGGGAGGGGTCCAACTTATACAATACAGTTTAACAACGTTAAACTTGCATGAGGACACTTTTACTGTCAATGTCAATGTTAGGAAACCAATTGTACAACATTTTATCACTCAGGTGTCAGATCATGTAGCTAGAAAGGTTGATCAGCTAAAACATTTTTATGTCCCTTACAGGGGTCCACCCCCAGAAAAAGTCTAGGGTCAGCAGGTTTTGTCTAGGGTCAGTCGTAGGCCCTATTGGATAATGTTATGACTATGTTATGCCTGCAGCACCGTCCCAGATGAGAGCCAAAGAACGCCGAGATTCTCCTCCAAGCCGTCGCCATGGTCACGGCGGTCGCTATGATGACCGAGACCGGCGTGATCGCCGCAGGAGCCGCAGCCCGTACGAGCGCGAGAGGCGCCGCAGCCGGAGCCGCAGCCCGTACTACAGCAGCAGCAGCCGACGCAGTCGCAGCAGGAGCAACGAGAGGTGAGATATTGCTGTTTACCAGTTGTTTTTGCTTTGTTTCCTCTTCTTCTTGTTCAAATAAATAAGATCAATGACCAGGACCAGACGGCTGTCATCATGGTAACTGGTGTTATGTGTTACGAGCAAGGAGATTTTTAACCTCCTTGGTCTAGGTCAGAATAAGTAGTTTGTTGAGCTAGACCACCTTTATAGTTCATCATAGTTTTTGTATTTAGCTGTGCAAAAAGTCTATCTAATAATTGGCATACTATTGTACTTGGCAAACATTCAACACTTAACCTGCGTGCTGCCTACCCTGTAACCAGTACAAAGTTGGCTCCAAAACGGAACAGGGAGAGGGCTAAATAAAAAACGCTGTGCCGTTGTAACACTTGTTCTACCCACAGGCAGAAGAACCGATGCAGTTTAGACTAATCTCGCCACCTTTGGTGCTGGCGTAGTCCCAGAGTTTAAGCAGTAGTGTTCTCTTCCAGGCATTACTACTCGCGCGGGGACAGTCCCTACCACGGCAGGCGCAGTCGAAGCAGGTCGTACGACGGGTACAGGTTGGTATGGAACTGTTGGCTCATGCATCTTGTTGTTTCTGACTAACACAGAACTGTGGCTGCCGTGACGCAGGGGGAGGTAAGACGTGTTGTGTGTGATTCGTCTCCAGGCCGTGTGTTGTGTGTGATCATGAGTTGCTGCCTGCAGAAAAGCTATGCTGCCTTTTATTTTAGTGCCAAGAGCGGTCCTCGAAATAAGAAATGAAACAGTATGTATTATACTAAACAAATACTTGTTCTTTTGTTGCCAGGCGACGCAGTGGGGGCGGCAGTGGTACCAGTCGGCGCAGAAAGTCGTACAGTCGCTCCAGGTCCCGGTCTCGCAGCCCCCGTGCACGTGGCAGGGAGCCTTCCCCGAGGTCAGCTTCTTTTTTTTATGTCTGGGTATGGAAGTATTGTTTTGGGTCACGGGCTGAGATGTGGGTTTGTGTGTCAGTCTGGACAGGGTAGGTTGATAGGGTGTGGGGGAAAATTGGCAGATGGAATGACAGGAGATCACATAGTCAGACACAGGAAGTAAGATGAACCTGATTTCTTCTTTACCATATGGTCAACAACAAAACCTGTTATTTCTGCATCAAGATCGAAACTCTGTTGTCTTCTGAAGTGATTATTCAGGAACTTAATAGTTTGATATGAGTTTCTTGTCATATGAAAGAGTATATTTCAGTGGTTTTGTAACATTCATGTTCATGTAGCCAGTACCAAACTACGTGTAGCTCTGCCACCTAAAAGTCTGTTGTGATTTGTTATACAGTTTCTTGACTAAACTGTGTTACATTTGTCCGACAGGTCTCGCTCCCCATCTCCTCAGTACCGCAGCCGGAGCCACACGCCGCGGAGTCGCAGCAGATCGCCCGAGGCGCACTAGACCACCCGCCTCTCTCACAACTTGTTAAGGCTACTAGCGAGGGAACCCGAGTATCAAAACATAGTGTAGGGGTAAAAGATGCAGACGTGGTGTATTAATATATGCCTGTAGCTGTGTAGGTAGAGAAGCAATGTCATTCACTGCTTGTGGGATGCATAGTTCTATGTCTACTACTATTTTCTGGTTACTTGCATTTTTTTACTATGTCTTTTTATAGAAGTTGCAAGGCTACCCTGATTCTCCAGCGTTTTCTTTTGCAGCAAAGATCAGACCAGTGTATATTTTTCATGAAAGTTTAGATTTTAGGGCAAAACAAAAACCAACTGTGCAAGCGCTCAAAAGAAATCATATAAAGACCCCTGGATCAAAACAAGAATAGTGCTTCCAAGCTACTTTCATGGACTGTTAAGTCACAACTGACAAAGGGTCCGTTTTCAGTGTTATTTTCCTCAATCACTTACTTTCAATTTGTAGCTTAACAATGGGAACAAAATGTGTGTGTGTCCTTGCATTTGATGTACATAGAAGAACCAACTATCATCTGTGCACTGTCCTCAGTATGTGAGACGAAGAAGACTGAAAACAATACACATAAGAAGGGTGAAAACATTGCACATGTTGCTCTGCCTCAAGAAGAATCACACAAGTACTAGTAGTCAGTCTTTGACACACAGTTGTTGTCCTGTTGATTTTTATATAGATGACAAATACCGGGAGGGTAAACCATTGTGATGTTAAAAAACAACTACGGTCAATTGGCCCATATTGGGTCAAAATGTGGCCATTTTCTGTTCCAATACAGACTACTGTAGCACCCACATGTATATAGAGGTGGTTTAGATGTAATGCATTACCACAATCCCCTAAGGCTTAGTAGGGTACAGTGCATTCCATTTAACTAGTGGAAGAGAAAAGGTGTCTGGTGATGTTCCTGATCATTTTAAGACTCCTGTTAAGTGCTAACCAGCCGTCTTTGTAGTGAACCATGTGTGTGAAACGTCACTGCAATGTTCTGTATTTCAATAGCAGCAATTTTCTTGCCTGTGATATACAACTTGCTCTCCAACTATTTGCATCACTGTACTAAGTTTGTGTTTCATTTCATGAAGGGGAAAACAGAAATCATTTTGCCCTCAACAGGAGACTGAAGGTAAATTATCTAAACCTAAACCCTAGAATTTAGGTACAATACACCAAACAAGTTTTGTAATAAGTTTGCTACATTATCTATGATAATGATGCAGATTGTCAGTGCTACATTTGTTGTACCTTTACTGTTGGTTGGACAAGGAGGGTTTGGAATCCAAAAGTTTTTACCGTGGTCTAACTACGCATATTTAACCACCTGGTAGAGGTGTGCACAGTGGTGTGTAATATGGATATACAAAAACAAGAAAACATCAGACCTTAACAGACAGAATTGTTGACCTCAAGGTTTCGGATGTGTCCGTTGTAGAATGGTTGTTAGTTTTCACTAATAAAAGATAACACTCAAAAGTTTGTTTGTTGTATCCTTGTGATTTCATCAGGTACAGGTAGATAAGTATTGAGGTACCAATGTGGTAGGCTAGTTTCCACTTTGCTGTCATCTGAATTCAGATACCAACTGCAACTATGATCGTCCGTTAGAGGAAAATATTTTTTTCAAAATCGAATCAATCAGTTTTTTTTAGTGGCAGTATGCACAAGTAATTTATGACAATTTTCTGTAAGAAGTAGACTCCGCCCTGGAGGCGTTACCAAACCTATGTGCAATTGTAATAGGACCCTGTGCAAACAGTCGATTTTACAGGCATTTGTTTGCAGACTTACGCACGAAGAGTGGAGCATGCAGATCAGGCACTAAACCTGGCTGCATCAGGCCACCAGTAGGAGTCAGGTGTTCTCTCACCTTTGATACACTAGAAACAGTAGCACCCAAGCATAGCGAAACAGCTAGGTTAGGGAGTTGAAACGTTTCCTAGTTATACCTCCCAGGAGAGCTAATCATCGAAATAGGGTACTGGATAATTAGTACAAAGTAGATGCCAGAAACGCTGTAATTGTTGCCCAGCAGCAAGTAAAATTGTGACTACGAGAACACCGTGTACTGTGTCATAATGGAAAGGTAAGCTCAGTCCATTCGGGAACATTGTATTTCTCATTGTGTGCGTATTAACTGGGTCAGTATAAGGCTGTGTTCTGATTTTTAGCTGTGGTCCCACAATACAATCCCCTGTGCATACGGCTCTTAAGATATTATGTACACGTAGTTGGTTGTTACCATAGCTGCTATTCTATATATAACATTGTAGTAGCAAGCCACCATGTGCAGACGTAAATTTCTGGTCTTGCCAAACGATTTTGTTCTAGGAGGAGCATGCTGTGGGGTTACCTTATAACTAAAGAACATTGCACAAATACCACCGTCACGATCAGGACTCGTGTGCATGAATTATTTAGTGTGCATAGAATCAGTTCATATCATACTACGTGTATGTTTCCTTGCAAAGCATTGTGTTTTAAAAAGCAACACGGTGCATGCATTCCGCAACTCAAAAGGGGCCTACACAAAGAGTGCTTCACACGGAAATTGAACGACTTACAGCAGTGCTTCATCGCAACACTTAAACCACAAATCCTCCATGGAGCCACGAGATGTTTCTGTGGCAACAGACAAACATTAACACGAAAGGGCGACCTATAAATATCTTATGTACACATGGGTGGCCTGTGGATAAAGTCAACATGGTCTAACTTACAGATGCATGTTTTTGAGACAGCGAAGCCCTGGTCTACCTTTATACTAGTACTACATTATGTGCAACGTAAACAGAAAGCTAAGCGAGTTAAAGTACCATCGGTTGGCTAACAACATCAGTCAATCAACCGCAGGGTCCATGGAAATGTGGCCCGGGGACTTAAAGATACCCGGTAAGACATCAATGACCTGGACCTGACGTCTGTCACCATGGTAACTGATCCCTGGGGTGTTGGATTATATTATGTAGCAAGTGGCATTGAGGGGCTAGTCGCCACATACATGTGTACAGTGTACATGTATAACTTTATGGATGCGTGTAAGTAAACAGCGCAGTAGTTTGTTGGGCTAGAACATCATGTGAAGGTAAATATATTTACTTTGCAAATGGCACCTATCTGGCCGAAGGGTGTTTTATATGTACGTTCAATTTGCCTTCACAGCAAAGTCTGAAACGTGTGGCGTACGAAGCAAGCCAAAGGCCACAGGATGGGGACCTGCGCCAGCGTCACGGCCGGACAGGCACTCCCTCTAGCGGACAGACCCAAAGTGTACCAGGAGGGAGAGGCAACCGCTGTCTTCATCCGACCCTCGCCATCGCAAACCACTGCGGCTAAGAAAGTAACCCTTGAACTGAAAGACGCGACTCCTCAGAACCTGAGAAAAGCCTTGAAGCTGGATTTCTACCCCGAAGTTCTGACCAACAAGGCCACAAACGTGACCAAAGTCCACCAGGGGCCCCCTAGCGAGTCCTTCTGGAACTTGGAGACGAATGCGGAATACGAAGTGGAGGGAGAGGACGAAAATGAAGGTATATCTGCAACCTATAGCTTTTGGCATAGCTTCTGTCCTTAGTGCTGATTGGTTGGCATAGCCTCTGTCCTTGGTGCTGATTGGTCTTCATAGCCTCTGTCCTTGGTTACTAGTATGATTGCTGGTAAGATTGGTCACGTTTCCTGAAGCCATGTGTATCAGGAGTGAATAACAAAGACCAAAAAGTCAGTGGCGAAAGTTTAGAACACAGAAATGAAGCAGCCTTGTAAGATACTCCGAACCATCCCATTCAAGTTCAAGAAGAGTAAAATAAACTTTAGGATCATTCATTAATATTTGACGCCATGGTTCTTTTTTGTTGCTTTAACATTTGTGACGAAGTAAGATTTCTTTGAACATTACCTTTACTGACAGATCTGTACAGTATGGAGACCACACAAAGGCCGACTATGAACTCCGGGGATGTCCAGAGAGCCCTAATATGCTGCCAGGCCGTGTATCTGTCCGATCTTCCCGACACGGACGCTGTTCAACAGTTTTTCGCCAGCGAAGGGAAACTGCACGATTTTGAGCGAGTCAGCGTCAGTCGGTACGGACCTGTGCGGTACCTCTTGGCTGAAACTCGTAACAGGGAGGAGGTTTATGTAGCTTTCAAAGGTGGGTTTGTGTGAACGTTTGTCCGGGCAGAGTAGGTTGACATCACATGGGTGGGGAAGACTGACGGAGTGACAATACGTAAAAGGATCAGACAAAGGAAATGGAGGTTTTTGTAGCGTTGAAATATGGACTTGTGTGAATGTTTATCCAGACAGTCCAGAGGTTGACAGAACGTGGGTGGGGAGATTGACAGAATGACAGGTGGTCGAAAGATGAGATACAGATATGGGGTGAACTTGATAAACGTAACCCAGAATCTGACCGGGGAGCCAGGAGGAACAGCTAGGTCCGGTCAACATGCAGGGTGGGGGAATTCAGGAAGCAGAGGGTTGCGTGAGCGACTCTCCGACCCTGCACAGTTCCTAGTCCTAGTCCCAGTACGTCAGACGAGTTCGTCGTACGCAATCCAACATTAAACTCAAATGGTTGCCATTAACGTGTATCATTTTTTAGGTACGTCAGACTTCGGTGATGTCATGTCCGATCTGAGTTTCTGGCAGGAAGGAGCAGGTCAAAGTGGGGACAGTCACAACTCCGGGGTTGGCGGGAAATACCATTCAGGCTTCATGCGTCTGGCCTTCCTCATCCCCGCCCACCGCATCCTGGAGGAATACAGCAACAGCCGCATTGTCGTCTGCGGTCACAGCCTAGGGGGCGCTGTGGCACACATCGTTGCCCTGAACATGATGGTGCATCTTCGCTCTCAAGGCCAACCCGTCGACAACGTCACGTCCATCGCGTTCGGCGCTCCGTACTTCGGAAACGACGGCGCCCAGCAGTTTGCGGAGAAGCACAACCTCTCTCCTCGCCTGTTGACGATCGTGAACGAAAAGGACCCCGTGCCGTACATTCTCCGCCTAGCGGAAACCGTCCAATGTACGGGACTGACGCTCCTGCAAAAAGTTCGAGACTTTTCTGCCAAAGCCAGACCCATCGCGTTGAGTATGCTGGGTATTCTTAGTACGTCAGGTATAGTTGGACCGTTCGCACTTATAGCGGGAGCCACAGCGCTAACCCAAATGCCAGCTAAGCTGGATGAATACGGAAAACTGCTGCAGAGATGGGGCGTGTCCGCGCGGGACCTGGATTCCCTTTACGTCCCTCTGGGATGGTACCTGTGCATCAGCTGCAGTACCACGAAAGCCGGTGGGGGCGCTGTTTGGCGGCGCAGTCTCCTGACCCATCCAGCAGCAATTCATTACGCCGCGCCTGACGTGGCGGCCTGGAAAGGTAATTAAAAAAAAATATCGGTGTAATCAATTCAATTGAGTAGTGCAGTGTGTAAAGTATCATAAGAAAGCATTGCTGCATAGAAAAGGAGCTAACCATTAGAACCGGTGCAGTTTTGTCAGTATGGTACGTCGGCATAACCGGTACCGCGTAATGTTCTGTACGTGTACTTCGACAGAACGCCTTAAGTATTCACGTATCCCGTCCATAGTGCTAGTTTTCAAATGTTGTGTCGGAAAATATATTTTCTGCAACGAAATATCCAAACGAAAACGGGGAGAGATCCGGCGTTCTGCCGATATGCGTTAGACGTTCGCACCTTTCTTACACCTCATCTCATTTCTCTCTCTCTCTTTTTTAATTCTAGAGGAGGATTTCCAATGCCACAGGGTGTCCAACTACCGCACGACTTTCTTTGAAATCGCGAGAAAGACGACATACCGGGAGGATGACGAGAGCAAACAACGTGACGTCGCTATTACGGACGCCATATTCCCCACCAGCGTCGAGAGCGTCTGCGTGTACATGTTAGGTAAATTACCACTAGTCTCCAAGATACTCCTAGCCGCCTCAAAATCATTCAATGGCAACGTAAGCTGGAGCTTCTATGGCGGCCATCTCTTCTGCCAATGATATTCCATTTTAGGCCAATTTCTACTATTTATCGACCTGCAAAAGGTGATGGAGACTAGCAGTGTTGTGTAAATAAAGTACATGAAATACATGTAATAGCCACTCTCTAAATCTTCAAAATGATGTCCATGGCCATGATTTTAGTGGTTTCACACGTTTTCTCCCACATTTTTCATAAAAACAAAAACAATGAAGCAAACACTACGTCCAGAGTTAGAAAGTTGTCTCTTTGATAAAATTGATTTATTCCGACAGAGGACACCGATGATGACGTCAGAAAGACGCAGTCGCGAACATGTCAAATCGTCATCGACGGCGACAACTTTGACTTCCTAGCAAGAGACAAACCCGTCTCAGGCAAGTTGAATCTTAATTTGTGAACTTGAGCGCTTTTCATGGATCGCCAACTTCCAATACCGTGATCTGTACTTTATATACTACTGTCGTCCATTTCTAGAAATTATACGACCAAGGAAATATTAAACATTATATTATATCTACAAGAATAGATACCGTGAATATTCATTTAGCATGTATGAAATTAACAAGTAGTCGCCAAAAAGCAGTTACTCAAGCAACTGGATCATGCTGATTTTGGAAAATCCAATATCAAATCCAGTTGCTTGAGTAACTGCTTTTTGGCGTATCGTATTACCTGGATGTCTAACCTTCATATGACTTATCAACAAGTAGTCTTTACGAAGTTTGTATCGTCTGTTTCTGTGAATATGCAGGACTTCCTGGGATAGATGGAAAGTTTGCCGTGCTGTTCATGTCCCGTCGCAAGGTGGCGCTTCAATGTCAGCTTTCAAGTAGCAGTGCCTTAGAGGAGACGGCGATTCTGGTCAGGACACACTTCCAAGAAGTGACGGTCCCCAAAGAGTCGGTTGACATAAAGGTAAGAAGTTTCCTGTACCTATAGAATCCGGAGGCATGATGATGATTATGTAGAATTACCTTACCTGCATGATAACGAACATCCCTCATTCCTTGACGACTGGAGTTGTACAGTCTAAAATTTGGGTATTAAAGTCCAATTTCTTCTGTTGGAAACTTTTAAGATATTAAAGAATATTAATTAATTGCTCAGAATTGTATGCTGAAAAAGATGGATCAAGCTCTACAGTAGGAGCCTTTTACATACGTCATTGAAGGACATTATCCCCACTTTACAACGTTGGTGTGTTACGCCTAAAGGCGGTTTACCGGTTGTGCGAAAGAAACAAATACATGTAAGTTGATCTGATACATTGAGGAAGCAACCAAGCTTAATAGAGGTAACAATTTTTGTTTTCATCAAGTCATGTTTTTTCTTTCCTTCAGATAGGAGCCGAATTGCCATTCAAGGCCAACGACGCCCTAGCGGTTGAGGTGCGAGCTGCAGGCCAGTCCGCGCTGAGCCAGGTTGTGGCGGTGGTTTCGGACACTGCGTCATCACTAGTGGGCGGGGCCACCAAACTCCTGGGCTTTACGTGATGCCTGACCGTCTAACACCGTGATTGACGCGTTACAAATAATCTCCAAGCAGATCCTACGATTGCAACTGGCAAGACAGTATCCCATCAGCCAATTTCAATTAATAAGGAAGGAGTGACCAATAGCTGATGAAGGACACCATTTTCAAAAGCAGTGTTCCTCCCTGTTTCAGTGTTTAATTATCAGTGGCCAATGGCCACTCCTTGGCTGACTGGATAGTCGTTTGTGATGACTTTTGAGGGGTATTAAAAAGAAACCCAATTAGTTATTATGAGATATAGATAGTTTGTGACATAGAAAATATCTTGTTTGTAAATTTCACAGACTTCTTACTTTCAAAGCTGATTTTTGCACATTGTATCCTGGGCCATTTTAGGCCTGGGCCGTGTCTGCCATTGGCCCTTAACATAGAAGCTGCTGCTTTTTCATGGTCATTCTACATGGACAATGACATCTAGATAATTTACCTAGTCCCATGATCAACTTTGCTGAAAGGAAAGTGCATAGAATTAGAACTAACATGTTTCTCAAATCCTCACCAAAATCCTTGTATAAACTACAATAGCAGCAATGTTGTACATCATACTTTTGTCTATTCAGTCTCACATTATTTTGCACCTGGCTTCAATTTTGCAATAACAAATGTAATACTGTGTAAATTCAATGCTGTATCCAAACTATGGCTGACAAATATCCTACTACAATGGCTTTCCTAATATTTGTTCCTTTGTGTCTTTGTGCTGGACAGGAAAGACCAGGTTTTTCTCTTTTCTGACATATGAGTGGTTAGAGAAAAGGCAAGCTTATAGATTATTGTTTGCATTCAGACTTGTTTAATACCCATTCATACTGTTACAAATTGGGGATTATGTTACAATAGTTTATTTATAACAGCTGTTACTATATACTTTCACACAGTACAACTGTGACAAACACTAAATGGTACATTGTAGAAGCCGAAACTGACTCATAACTCCATGATACATTCATACCACGCTTCCTTACCATGCACAACTTCAGAAGTTCCGACCAGAACAAACCCTGCCTTAGTATACAGAGGAATCAGATACTCATGACATATCAGACATATCCTCTTGGCCTTGGGGAAACTATCTTTCACGTGTGGAACAAACGCCTGAAGTAGCTTGGTGGCTATTCCCTGACGCTTAACACTTTGGTCAACACAGACAGAATGTATGCATACTGTTTCACCACAAGGTATGTGGGCATGCATGGATTCTTCTGTTAAGTGATCGGCATTGGTGCTTGTGGCACAGACAAAACCGAGCAGCTTTTCGTTTTTGAAGTAGCCGAGAAAGAGACGGCTTTCTGCGGTGTATCTCATCTGCAGGGTTTCTAACGAAGCAGCCTCATCTGCGGGGTAGCCTGCAGACTCCAATATAGAGGCTTCCTCAACTTCCTTGGTACACTGGAGCGGCCGTATGATCCCTTCTGTCATGTTGGTGGGTCTGCTATGAGGTATGTCAGTTCTGAAGGCTTGTGAGTTCTGTATGGCAGTCTGGAAAATGAAGAAAAAAAATGCAATGCCTTACACAACAGCTCCTGTCAGTCCAACTTTAATGCACAACAGAAAATTTTCTGTCGTTTTTGCATAAATACAATGTATCAACAAGTCTTGCTATAGTTGAAATATTCTATCACCAGTCCATTATGTTGTCATGGCTAAGATAAAGAATCATTATGACATTATGATGACGTGCAAATTAAAAATAGAGAATATATACATACATGTATTAGAGTACTGCCTTGCATTATACATCATGATGTAACAGTTCAAATCATTACACTGTCCATGTTACATTAAAGAATAAATACGGTGGAATCTACCAACAGCAAACTGTGACAACTTAACATTACTTAGTAAAATAATAATCCAGTACAGTAATCGTCCAGCTATTTACCAAAGCCAGTCAATTAAGAATAATGTAGGGAATGCCCGATTTTGTACATTGTATGGTTTATGCATACATACATACATATACATCTGAATATCATTGATAATAAATCAATACATGTACCTGCTTTGATTGGTATCAAAAGGAATATTTGCAGCCTTCATATCTACAATATATACTAGTATGCCAGAATGTCATTTCATTGCTATTCTAATTGTATTAAATATTGCCTCTGCTAATGATAGGCAAGTGCTAAGCACCAGGACAGGGAGATGTTGAGAATCTTATATGAATCATGTGAGCTTAAATAATATCTGTATCCTTAGTAATACTTTGCATATCCATGCATGTGCATAGTAATATTCTCCTGCTATTATCTTAGTTTAAAGTTATAGTATTTATTACTGTTTTGGTCTGATGATACAGAATATATATATGATATAGATCCCCTCACCTAATGACACCTATAGACTAGTGCACAATCAACACAGAAACATTAGTTTTGATAAGTTATAGGAAGAATCATTGACATGTACTTACAGTTTTGTATTGTATATAAATGAACAATAAAATTTAATGAACAATCAATTAATTAATTTGTTTTATCTTTACATACTGGTAACAACACCAATTTTCTTATCGTGACTCATATATTGCATATCATAATCATATTCCTTGTCATCCAGGCGGACAATCAGTATATTACTACTATAGTATATTGCATATGGTACTGGCAGAATCTGGTCTTCTAATCCCACCATGCTTCTTGGCATGAAGGCACAAATTGAAAGGTAGTTGGAATTGCCAAGTTATTGCTTATAGTCCCGAATAATAAAGTTATATATGGTACTAGTAGTATTACCTAACAATTTGACAATGTCAAATATTATATCCCTTTTAAGTACTACTGAGAAGAAAAATGCAATCTTTGTTTTGTAATCTACGCTACAAAATATCATTCAGCTCACAGCACACCTACAAATGTACAGTGCCTGCATATCTAAGGTAAACTACAATATATGGAGGTGCTTTACTACAAAATGTATTTTCAAAGTGGCGGATATATGTAATCTGGCAGATAAATGGAGGTTATATCTTATATATAAAGACTGCATTTGCAAAATGACACAGTAAACTGACTCTAACTGTAGCTTTGCTCCATCACATTATACAACAGAGCTACACAGGATGTTAGCAGTCAATCACTGTAGTCCAGCGCCTTCAGTTCCTCAAACTCCTCTTCGCTCTCAATGGAAATGGTGGATCCATTGGCATTCCCCGTTGTCATGGGAACAGACTTGGATCCACTGACGTTGTCCATTGCCATGGAGATATATCTTGACTGGAAGGCGTCGTCCGTTGCCGCCGGCTCGTACGTGGCGAGGTCCAGGCAGCACTCGTACCACGCCCTCTTCCCGAACTTGACCTCTGCCCTCCCCACCAGGGTGAACCCCACGCGGGTGTACACGGGGATGAGCTCGGCGTGGCACATCAGGATGATCCTCTGCACCTTGGTCTCCTTTGCCTTCACATACTCGGTGAAGGCCCTGATCAGGCTCTGGCCGATGCCCCTACGTCGGGACTGCTCCTCCACACAGAGCATCTGCAGAACCATCGTGTCCCCCTCCGGGTCGTGTGAGTCCCCGGCTCCTGTGGAATCTGCTGAGAAGTGGTCGCCCTTCTTGCTCGCTCCGCGCAGAAACCCCCGTACCTTCTCCCCATCGAAGTAGCCGAAGCAGAGGTGAGGCGCAGCGCGATAGTACTTCAGGTAATCCTCCAGGGATACGGACTCCTCCGGCGGAAAACTAGCGTCACGAAGAATCCACGCCGCTTTGAGCTCATCCTCGTTACAAATCACCCGGATGACTTCCTCTGACCGTGGGTTCTGTTTGAACAATCCGTCCGATGATGACGTTGAGAGCACATCTCGGAAGGAAGGCACTTCTTCAGCCATGGGTGGATGATGGCAGGGAATTGTCTTCTAATATCTCTGGCAAGAAGGGCGGCCGGGGGTCAGCTACCTGATTGCACGACCCTGTGTAATGAATTATTGTTTGTTTAAAATTAGGCTTATATTTTCTGAAATGACTGACATAAACCCAGTATGATTTATACATACATATACATCTGAATATCATTGATAATAAATTAACCTGCTTTGATTGGTATCAAAAGGAATGTTTGCAGCCTTCATATCTACAATATATGTGCCAGAATGTCATTTTATTGCTATACGACCCGTCACCTATAATTCAACAATTACGACAGAAATATTAGTTTTGATAAATTATAGAAGAATCATTGACACATGCATATACAGTCTTGTCTTATCAAGATTGAGCATTCTTGGTATATAAATGAACTACTAATTAAAAATTAACAATCAATCACTTTTTTTATCTTTACATACTGGTAACAACACAGATTTTCTTATAGTAACTCAGCATTGCATATATATATACATATAACGTTAGTGCTGGTAGAATCTGGCCTTCCAATACTACCATGCTCCTTGGAATGAAGGCACATATTGAAAGGTTAAAGTTGGAATTGCCAATAATTAATTTATTGCTTATAGTCCCGAATATTAAAGTTACCTAAAAATACAACAATGTCAAATATCATATCCCTTTATATTAGTACTGAGAAGAAAAGTGCAATCATTGTTTTGTAATCTTTTGATTTATGCTAGAAAATATGATTCATATCACAGCACACACACAGTGCCTGTATATCTAAAGTACCGTAAACTACAATATGTGGAGGTGCTTTTCTATTTTTCAAAGTGGTAGATATATATGTAATCTAGCAGATAAATGGAGGTTATATCTTATGAGTATCTAAATACATGTACATGTACTGCATTTTGCCAAATTAAACGGTAAACTGACTCTAACTGTTGCTTGGACCGTTACTCTAGGGTTAGAGGTCAATCACTGTAGTCCAGCGCCTTCAGTTCCTCAAACTCCTCTTCACTCTCAACGGAAACGGTCGATCCATTGGCATTGCCCATTGCCATGGAAACAGATTTCGCTCCACTGACATTGTCCGTTGCCATGGGGATATATCTTGACTGGAAGGCGTCGTCCGTTGCCGCCGACTCGTACGTGGCGAGGTCCAAGCAGCACTCATACCACGCCCTCTTCCCGAACTTGACCTCCGCCCTCCCCACCAGGGTGAACCCCACGCGGGTGTACACAGGGATGAGCTCGGCGTGGCACATCAGGATGATTCTCTGCACCTTGGTCTCCTTCGCCTTCACGTACTCGGTGAAGGCCCTGATCAGGCTCTGGCCGATGCCCCTGCGTCGGGACTGCTCCTCCACACAGAGCATCTGCAGAACCATCGTGTCCCCCTCCGGGTCGTGTGAGTCCCCGGCACATGTGGGATCTGCCGAGAAGTGGGCGCCTTTCATGCTCCCTCCCCGCAGGAACCCTCGTACCTTCTCCCCGTCAAAGTAGCCAAAAAGGAGGTGAGGTGCAGTACGGTAGTACTTCAGGTAATCCTCCAGGGATACGGACTCATCTGGTGGAAAGCATGCGTCGCGAAGAGCCCACGCGGCTTTCAGCTCATCCTCGTTACAAATCACCCTGATAACTTCCTCTGACCGCGGGTTCTGCTTGAACAATCCGTCCGATGATGACATTGATTGAACATCTTGCAATTGGAAGGTACTAGTAGGCACTTCTTCAGCCATGGGTGGATGATGGCAGTGACTTGTCTTCTTTCTCTGGCAAGAGGGGCGGTTGTCAGCTACCTGATTGAACAACCCTGTGCAATGAATTATTGATTGTTTCAAGATAAGGTTTTTCTTTTCTGAAATCACGTACTGATTTCATGCTGTAGTTGGAAGAAAGGACACCCGGAACCTTAAACCAAACCTTTAGTAGGAAAATTAGGAAACTCAATAAAAAAAAATAAGTGGCAGATATTTGGACACCAGTATGCAAGATACCACACATGTAATTCTGATTCTGACTGTAACATATAGCTACATTGTATTCATCAAATGCTATGTCTTGAAAAATGTGCCTCTATACCCTACATGGTGCTTGATTGTATGTGAAACCTTAAGGGTAATCTACTGCATGTATCACACATTTGCATGCATTCTTACAGGTGTCTTTTGTGTAATAAAATAACTGGCACAAAAAAATGGTTGAGAGTTGTCTGTATTAAGACAGGGGAGGAATGCCCTGGGGGGAATCAACCTCAAACAGGTGAAAATGTCTAGGGTATAGAATTTTCTTCATACACAACCAGTAACGTTCTCACCTGCTTACGTTTTGATGTCTATCAGACACCAGCGGCGAGTTGCAGAACTCCAGTCAGAAGCTGTGAGGAAGGTGTCTGATAGACATCGAAACGTAAGCAGGTGAGAACCAATACTGGTTGTGTATGAAGAAAATTCTATACCCAACCTGATGAAATTATTTACAGGTGAAAATGTCATGGGAGAGGCAACCTGGGGGGTAAACGGCTACAATCCCATCCTGCCGTTCACATATCTGTCACCATTAACAGACAAATTTGTCACTTTTACGACCAGCCATTGTAATTCAATCTGGTACTACAGTATTTGTAATTTTAATTTGTATCTTGTATCAGTCAGCAAGCTGGACAACTGTGTTTTTGTTGTTGACATTAAAGGTTAAAGCAAAACTAAAATGACTAACCCTAACTCAAAATTGTGGCTTAAACTAATAATCCCAAAATAATTCGATAGACAAGCTTTAGCGGAGGGTTACCACAAAGGAGGGGTGGTCTTGTTTTTGTTACAGAAGATAAAAATAAAACTAAGCTAAAATGACGAACCCTTTCACTAATGTGGCTTAAACTATAATCCCAAAATTGTTCAACAGATAAGCTGTGATTGCTTGTAGCCGAGAGTTACGACAAAGGGGGACATCTTTACAGTACAATGAACGTAATTTATTTTTTGCGACAGGTGGAGCTGAATAAACACAGAGAGTTGACATGGACAACACCTGTTGAAAGCTTACTCGAATTTTATGGTTGGAATTTATATGGCAGTTTACCTTTTCCCTTTATCATACACAAAAGCCTGGCAAGTGGCAACAATAATGTTTACCCACAAGAAGAAACAATCCTGTCAATATTTGAATTCCGCATCTTAATCGGATAAAGTACCGTAAATGCAATTACTTTTTTGGTGGTTGTATTTCGGAGGAACGTTCTCTCTGGGTCTTGAAGTACATGGTGGAAACAATTCTATATTACACTAGAGTTCCACGATCTCATACCTTCGCCAAATGATGTTAGCTTTTATGATTAAGAAATTATATATTAATCCCCCTAATTATGCAAATAGGATCCTCAATTGCATGAATTATATCTGTTGATCATATTCTCCACCAAAAGACAGTCTTATCTTAACAAAGAATGCCATGATGACATTTTCTCATAAATTATGCAAATGAGGTCCTTATTTGAATAAGTTATGTTTAATTATGTTCACCTTAACTTAACTTTCAAACACCCCAAGTATAAAATTCCAGGCAGTTACCACTATGCAATTATAATATTTTCTCATTAATTATGCAAATTAAGTCTTCATTTACATAATCGATATCTGCCTGTGTTTCTCTCATTCTTAATAACATATGTCACAAGCTTGAACTTCCTTTTATGGAATGCAGCTGATAGATAGAATTTCCTCATTAATTATGCAAATTACATCCATATTTGCATAATTATAATATTATTATGTCAAGCATCACTCAAGCTACCTACATACCAAAAATCACGATGATCCATCAATCGGTTCTTGAGTTATCCTCCTTTAAACATTTGTCCTTTAAACCCCCTTGCAGTTCTAGAGCAAGCAACTAGGGGGCCCAAAGTCACGTCACTTCTTCCCCAGCACAAGAGCTACCTGCCATCCAAATTTCGTTACCCTAGCATGTCTAGATCACGAGATATCAAAACCGGAAGTTCTGCTGCAGTACCATGACAAGTCGCCAGGTGGCCCAAAATCTAATCATTTTGAGGTCTCATCAAGACCTACCCACCTACCAAGTATCAAGACAATCCATCAAGACCTTCTCAAGTTATCGTGTTGACAGACAGACAGACAGACAGACAGACAGACAGACACACACACACATACACGAACGCCCCTGAAAACATAACCTTCTTGGCGAAGGTAAATATACAGAACACATACATTTGTATTTGCAGTGTCATGATTTTGCATTGTGAAAACTGCAAAAATAAATGCATTTTAGTATTTTACAGTAAAAGTAAATTATGCTTGACCAAGCTAGAGAGTGAATAAGAGAGTACAAATGTATGTGTGAATTGATGATGACTTACTCTCCTGTAAGAAAAAAACAAAAGGTGAGAGTCCAAATATTTGTGTTTTATCTGACGCCTGCTAAATTCTGTACGAACCTCCTGCAAATATGTATGGACATTGCTGAAAGACAAGACTGAACTTTTGGAACAGAGTTCACCAAGCACCAAAAATTTGCTCACCTTGCTAAGGCCAAGAGGGTCCAAACTTGTGATCAAAACAAGTTGGAGCCGTTGATGCCAAACGACAGTCTGTAATTAGAGCGGGAAAGTGTGATGTTGTTCCGTTGAGTCTGGAATGTTCCGCTTCACTGGATTTGGGAGTTGTCTGCCTGGGGCTAAAAAACAAGAACACACAACACCTCAGCTACACTACAGCAGTGGGTGGATCGCTTGTGCTTGTAGCTACGAGTCCACGCTACTGAATGAAACCAGGAACGTTAAACCACCTGTTTAGAAGGAAACAGACGTGTTGTTCCTAAGAGATCGAAGAACGACCGGAGAAAGATAAACAAAGTTCACATATTTTATCACTCACCACCTGCATGCTTGACCAGCCCATGCGCTGACGTGTGTTGACGAAATTGATCAAAGAGTTCATAGGTCAACCTAGTTGAGTTATTGACCGCCACCGCTGCAAAACTAAAACATACAAGAAAGTGAAGAAACTCATAATTTTGCCAGCAATTACATATACAGCTTATGTTACTCGTAGAAAAAATATTCCACAAGTTTAGAATCATTTTTATTGTGGGAATTGTTGGCAAACTGATGTTTTGTGTGTTTTCTTTGCGGTTGCTTGTTGACCAGCGGACAAAAACGTTCCAAGATGGCGCCCAGAGGTCGGACTAGGACCCGGAGCGAAGGGAAAAATCACGAAAACAAACCCGAGTTCCCCCTCAACAACTCCGCTCCTGAGCCTGAAAATGTCGGAGCCGGCGGAGAGCAGCACGTCGAGTCCGAAGAGGAGAGACTCGTCAAGGAGATCGCCAGTAAGTCAAAAGTTTACGCTGAAAAATGTTGACATGTTTTAGGCTCCCGCCCTCCCTACTGTTTCATCATCATGCCCCATGGTTACTTTAGTCGCTGGTTCCGATATCTGATACTGTTGACCCAGTAATGTACCCTTATTTTAACCCTAGACGAAAAGCAGATGCATTTGGTTGAATTTTCCTTCACCTGTAAGAAATGTATGTTATAAAAGCTAACGAGAAATATTTCTTACCACACACACAAGACTGACAACAAGAATATATTATTTTGTACACGTACTACTTCTAGTACAGATATCCAATCACTTTCACGTGCCTCTGACTGGATCAGTGACCTAGACCTGCCCTTGTTGTTGTCGTAACTTATATTTTGATCCTGACGCACGGATGACGCAAATGGCGAAGACATGAGAAGAATTCTTCTTGATGTTTTTGTCTGATCCATACTGGCATTGGTCACAAAGCCAAAGTTATGCTACTACTAGTACTAGCATGCCATTTTAATGTTAATACTGTGGTCGTTATCATTGATGATACTTAAATTTTGATTACAATAAAAAAAAAATACACCCCTACAAAATGTCTTAAGTGACTGCAATGTTGACAATACAATAAAGTTTGAAAAACTGAAGTTTAAGAGAAAATCATACAGAGTCCAGACAAAATCTAAAGAGTAGAACTACAGACTGGTAACACCAAGAAATGTAGTTTTGCTTTCAAGCTATGGACCTTTAATAACATGTAGTATGGCAACAGTACAATTTGCAAGAAGCAACATGTAGTGACTCAATTTATAGTAGCAATCCCGCTTATGTGTCAGAGGGCCAGGGGTTGAATTCTAACCTAGCTGTCAGTGTTCATCAATTGAGTGAGAAAATACTAGTAGCTATAAAGTGCCTTTCCCAAGGACACAACACTGAGGCCTGCCAGGGATTTGATCCCAGAACCTTAAGATTCTGAGTCAACAACCCAAACCACAAGACCACACCTCACCACCTTGTTGTTGTCCTTGTTTAACGTCTATTACTAGTATGTCGCTAGACGTGGTCTCTAGGTGCCCAGTTTTACGCTTGGTTTAGTTCAGAGTCAGTTGTCTCTCTGGGTATTAACATTTGGGTTGTGAGTTCAAGTTCACACCAATGATCTGCGTTCTCTATTCTTTGCTACCCCATCTCAGACATGCCCCTGTGGACGTATCTGTGGGCTGAGCTGACCAGGGGATATCTGCTGGAGAATGAGGAGGAGAAGTTTGCGGAGAGGAGAGAGAGAGTCTATACCTTCATGAAAATTCCACAAGTGTTTGAGAAGGTGAGAATACACAATATCTGGTGTGTGAGAGAAAAGAGAAGAAACAGCTTAGGAGTGAGAATACTAGTATACTCTCATCTGCCGAATAAACATACCTCCCGGAATAAACGTACCCCCCGGACAAATCTTCAAAATCAAATAAACATACCCCCGGAATAAACGTACCCCCCGGAAAATTACCAAAATTGACGGGTAACCTGTGTCTCTTGTACTAAAATGCGCCCTTACTGACATATGCACAAATCTTTAACTGTTATTTGCAATTAGGAATTTAAATAGACAAAAAAAAAAGAGCTTTTAATATTTCGTATTTTGATAAGCACCACCCATGACAATAGAACATTCAGACGAATTTATGCACGCGGTGATTGCAAAAACCGGCCTGAAAATGACAAGTTTCTCGCTACAATACTGTTTATAAACGTCTTCACGTCGATGATTTGTCAATTTTTTTCACACAAAGTTGAAAAAAATTACTCGTTTTCAAAAAATTAATAAACGTACTGTGCAAAATAAGAACGTACTGGGTGGATGTTCGGGCCCAAAAAAATAAACGTACCCGTATGTTTATTCGGCAGATGAGAGTACTACAGAATATACATCTGGGAATTAAGACATAGTCTAGGAAAATTTTGCCCACTATAAATATACTAGTAGGCCACTTATGTCAGAATTGGAGTACCAGGTACACGTAGTACTTTTTGTAGTAGTAGGTAGTAAATAAATAAGTAGTAGTAGGCATCCTGTATTGCGCTGGCCACTGTAACTGTGAGGTCATTACATAGAGTTTTTGTACACTGTGATACCTGTATATGTAGGGAATCTGTTGACTTACAATAATGTAAAATGTATGTTGTACCCAGCTGATGTTCTATGGGTTCTTCCTGTGCCTGGATGCGTTCCTGTTCATCTTCACCTTCCTGCCACTGAGAGTCATCATAGCCCTCATCAGGCTCATCACCATGCCCTGTCTGCAGGGGAAAAGGTAAGTCTACAGGCTTTTAGTTTACCTCGTTACATCTTAACTTGGGTAGGTATGTTGCAAGTACATGTGTATTATCTGAAGCACATTGGCAAAATGTTCTACACCTGCGCAAAACTACAGTTTCTAATGGAAGTTTGGTCAATGTTTAACTGTCGTTGCATCAGAATTTTGTCCGTTGCAGTCTTGCAGACAATATCTTTTCCAACCAAACATTTTAAAAGTGCAGATGGGATGTCATCCTTACATAGACAAACACAACTTTACAATATGTCCTAAAGTACAGTGTGTACCATGTTTGTGAAAGTAGATGATACAAATGTATCTGATGGACTATGAAATGTGATATTTTCCTAGAAACTTCATTTTGATCCACGCTGTTTTTTTCCCATCAGATCGAGACTAGAGCCAGCCCAGATCTGTGATCTGATAAAGGCAGGGATCATCATCGTGTGTACCAACATCCTGTTCTATGTGGACACTTCCATGTTGTACCACCTGGTCAGGGGACAGTCCATTATCAAACTCTACATCATCTTCAACATGCTGGAGGTTGGTGCTCTCCTTGTTTCTGCTAGGTAGATAGATGAAGCAGTACCAGTCCTTGCATTGTATCAATATTATTGATACAACTCAACTCAACACAACACAACATATCCTATTCTATAATGACACATTAGTGTCGTAGTAGTCGGGGGACAGTCCATTATAAAAGTGTACATCATCTTTAACATGCTGGAGGTTTGTGCTGTCCTTGTTTCTGCTAGGTAGATAGATGGAGCAGTACTACTGCTAGTCCTTTTTGTCTTGTATAAATATTGTTGATACAACACAACATACTAGTATCCTGTTCTATAATGACACATCAGTGATGTAGTCATCTGGTTTAGGGGACAGTCCATTATCAAACTCTACATCATCTTCAACATGCTGGAGGTTGATGCTCTTGTTGTTTCTGATAGATACAAGTAAATAGTTTGTGGTGGCATTGAATATTGGAATAGTCTAGTGGACACGAGATTGAGAGAACATGAGTTCAGTTCCTGGCATTCCTGACAAGCACTGTTTGAATCTCTCAAAAAATGAAATACTTGTATGTCACATCAGCTACCAAACATGCAAATTCTGCCCTTACAAGATTGTTGCATCTTTTTCCAAAATCTAGCCTGTAGAGTTAGATTCTTTGTATATTTTGGTTCCTGTTGTGTAGTTTACAGCGTTTGTTTACATTTCAGGTGGCTGACCGACTGTTCTCAGCTGTTGGTCAGGACATCCTGGACGCTCTGTTCTGGACGGCCACCGAGCCTCGGGGCAGGAAGAGGGACCACTTCGGCGTCATCCCCCACTTCCTCATGGCCATCACCTATGTCTGTATCCTTAAGAACAGTTATTAACCAAGTTTTGAACTGTAATTTCCAACACAAGAAATTTGACTTACCCAAATTTTCAACTGTATAACTCCAATCATTGTCCATTGATCAGCAATCCACCGCTTCTGTGAGTGTGACATCACATTTTGCCCATGACACATTTGACTTGGAGCAGTGGACTGTAGGTTGCAGAAAGTGTTTTCATTCCAGTTGTGAGCCAAACTTTCAACATACTTGGATGTGCTTCTGTATTGTATGTATGTATGTTGGTGGGGTCGTGTGGCGCAATTGGTAGCGCGTTCGGTATATAATCTTTTAAATAAAAGCATTTTTACCTAAATTGTGTTAACGTGAAACCTTAACACCCTGTCAGTTCTCCACTCCACATTAGTTCTGTTCCAGGCGACGTGTCTGAACGTGGCCTTCAACTCTCACAACAAGTCCCTTCTCACTGTCATGATGTCCAACAATGTGAGTATAATGTGAGAGGTTTTGGTTTTCACAAAAGCTGTTATAGAAACATTATCAATTCTTCATGTAAACTGTTGTTTAAGTGTGTAATGCTAATTTCAAAGGCATAGACAGACCTTCCCTTAACTTTATAGATAAACAAACATAGAGCTTATTTTTTAAGCTTTCTTTTGCATTTTATGGCTAAATCAAATATTGTTGCTACTTGTATATTTGTCATAAGATTAATCAGCTTGGAGAATATTATTATCTTTGTCTTCTTCATTTTTCATCCTTACCAATCTTTACTGTTCTTGCCTTTTACCTTTTATTTTTTTATTGATATTAAACTTCTCACCATATTTCCTGTGTCCTTAACAGTTTTCCTCTCTCTTCATTGCATTTGTTCTTGTTATTTCATCATTCTCTTTTTGCAGTTATTGTTTGCCAAGCATAGAAAAGAAAATACATGTAGTAACTTTTCTTTTCATTCTACAAGAAGGCAGTATTCCCACTAGAATAAGTGTCCAAAATGTGGCTGTAAAGTAGGTTGTCAAGGCAGAAAACAAGCAAGGATTGCCAGTAAAGAAGTACATGTAGGCAGGCTCTCAGAAGAAGTGTTGGTGTCCTACATACACTCATGAAGAATGTCACTAACACTGTCCCAAATCTTCTGTTTCAATTTCCAGTTTGTGGAGTTGAAGGGGAGTGTCTTCAAGAAGTTTGCAAAGAACAACTTATTTCAGATGTCGTGTAGTGGTGAGTGTTTGCTGTCAGTGTTTCAGGAGGCCATGTCTTGTTACCTCAGACTTGCCGTGTCTGCTGTCCATTGCTTCTGCACCTAATACTTAATTATTAAAACCGTTTGGGGTTAGTTTTCTCACAGTAAAGCCTAACTTCTCTTTAAATTAAGAATTTCTTATATGAAAGGAGCACTGCTGACCACAGGGCCAGTAATTGTGGGAGACAATTGAAAAAGTAAAAACAGGAACGCAAAGCAATGGCAGTGTATGACAGCAAGTCTTTGGCATCCCATGTGGGTAGTTTTATAAGACATATTAGTGTATCTACATCAGCTGTCCCTGTCATCTCTCTGTCTTCTCTCACACACACTGTTCACAGTTTGCTGAAGTCCAGTCAAATGTGTTCAAGAGTTTTGGGAAAAAGGCCTTGTTTGAAATGTCTTGCAATGGTGAGTCACACCCCTCCCACCCTGTTTTTTCTTTTTGTCTGCTTTTTCTTACCAGTCTGTTGGCTGTAATGTGTGTATTTCAGTACTTTCTCACCCTTCTGCAAAGTAGGGCATCACTTGTTTGTAAGTGGAGAGGGTGGGTTAGACATACATGTACATGTAAGTTGTCATTGCAATATATAATGGCTCTTCCCAAAATTAGCTCACCCAGCTAGGTGATACACGACATATTTGTCCATACTCATGGTAGATCAAAATTAAACTGGAGGTCCCTTTCTTGAAGAGACATCCTTCAACACCTTGAGTATGCTAAAGATCCCACTGCACTTATCCAAAAGACTAGTGGTCCTTCCTGGTGTGCCGTGTGAGAGGTTCAAACCTTACAGTCTGGTGTTATGCAGCTTGTACTATCTATTATCTTGCATGTTTTGACGGATTGTTTTTCTTTCTGTTTCAGATATCCGTGAAAGATTCCACTACCACGTCCTCCTGTACATTGTGGTGATGAGAAATATGACAGAGTTCAACTGGAGCCCTGGTAGGTGCATGGATACTGCATTGCCACTGTAGACTCTGCTTGGAGATTAGTACTAGTGTTGCCAATCTTTTCACGTTTTTTTCCTACCAAGAAACAAGCATGTACTCAATTACATCACATACTCAAGTGCATCAGAGCATTGCAGACGATATCTTTTCAGACGCAACATTTGACACAGCACATTCTGCTGACATGCTGGTATTGTATTGTACCACATTAGCTGCAGTAGCCTTATAATTTGATATTGTAACCATAACTAACAACGACTTCCCCGTGTCTAGACCACTTGTACCAGCTGATTCCAGACGTGTCCATGATCATCGCTGCTGAGTACCTGGTGGACTGGGTCAAGCACGCCTTCATTACCAAGTTCAACGAGATTCCTGCAGACGTGAGTACAAATCTCTCAAAGTTATCACACAATAGAGTGGGTGAGTGAGTGAGTGAGAGTGTGAGTGAGTGAGTGAATGAATGAATGAGAGTGTATGAGTGAGTGAGTGCATGAGTGTGAGTGGGTGTCTGAGTGATGTGTATGTATGAGTGAGTGAGTGAATGAGTATGAGTGTATGAGTGAGTGACTCATGAGTGAGTGAGTGTATGAGTGAGTATGAGTGACTATGTTCTAACGTTACACCTAGTCTGTTGTTTGTATCTAGCACCTTGTACGTAGCAACATACATTGTAGGTTTACAAACAGGGTGAGAACAAGAAAAGTTTTATCTAGAAGTGATTTTTTATTTTTTTATCTTTCTCTCTGTCTCCCTGTCTGCAGGTGTATGATGAATACCGTGCCAGCCTGGCTTATGACATGATCAGCAGTAGACAGAAGAATGTAAGTACATGTACAGTGTATCAACAGATTTCTCTTTGTATACACACAAAGAATTCACACATTGATGCACAAACTTGTAATTAACACAACAAAATGCAACAAAACAGGTGAATGACAAGTTTATCATTTTCATTTCATGTCCATTTATTTCTTGTCCATTTGTTGTATTTCATTTGTTTGACTTTATGCCATATCTGTGACTTTCTAGGCCTTCTCTGACCATTCTGACTTGGTGTCCAGAAGAATGGGCTTCATCCCTCTACCCCTGACATGCCTGGTGAGTACATGTTTACGTTAGTCCCTAGTTAACATCCTTGAAAATCCATCTTTTTCCTGACAATTTCGGTCCAGTTTGGAGTAGACGATGACAAAGAAGATTTTTCCTTTTTTTCTGTTTTACTAGGTAAGCGGTAAGTCAAAAAAAATTATAAGGCATGTTGAGTGTGTTTATACATGTAGGTTTGGTCATGCATCATTGTTATTTCACAGAATGGATGATTTTTTTCCCACAGGTTTACATGATCACCAGGCGATCAGTGAAAGTCCAAGGCACGACAGGCATATTTCTGTTGGCCCTCACATACTTAGCGTAAGTTGCAACCAGTTTTCTCCACCCTTCTTGGTTTTGTATTCCTTATAATGTTTCACTTAGTGTTGTGCTGGACCATTGTCTGATATATATGAAGAATATTGTATATTTACGTTTGGGAATGCATCTATAGCAGCGACACCTGTGCTGCAATGCAATGTGTACCAGTTAGAATTGCCCTGATGAGGTCACCAAAACATTGGCTGAATAAAAGACTCGGTTGTGTAAAAAGAGTCTCTTTACTCAGAATACAGTTATGATTTATGGTCTGATCTTATTTTTTTTTCTTCCCGAACACAGCCTGGTAACAGTGAAAGTGTTGAACAGCATCGTCCTCTTGGGAAACGCCTGCAAGTACGTGAAAGAGTCCGACATGTTCAAGAACAAGCTGGCCAGCCGACCGGGCAGTAGAAACGCCAGCCGAGCGGGAAGTCAGACGAGCCTGAATAACCCGAACCCCACCTCGCCTCCTCCGAATGTGGAGATCACCAGGACAGGGTCTTTCTCCATCCACCCCAGCTCAAAGCAGAGTAACGACAGCTCCGTGGAGGTCATAGGAACGGACCCTGTAAACACAAACTCTGAGGAGCAACCTGCCGAAGAGAACAGTGATCTTGAGAGGGAAAGTACGTCAGCGTCAAAAGATAAGAAAGCACAGACAAGCGTTAAAACAAAAGAGTCAGTGGGAAACGTTGGACAACACCATGGGAAAAGTAAAGACGAGGATAAAGAATCACACAGTGGGAAAAGTCATTCACCCAAAAAGGAGAGTCCAGAGAAAACGCTAGAGGGAGCCAAAGGAGAAGACCACAAAGATGATGCACAGAAACAAGCAGAGAAGAAAGACGATAAAACAGAGACAAAAGTGTCAGCTAAAGATACTGAGCTGAAATACAGGGGGAGCAAAACTGATATCAGGGAGGTGGACAGATTCACTCTGTGTGGAAAGGAGATAATATAGAGATAATGAAAGTTACTGTGCTCAATTCAATCCCAGTTATTCGTACTATGAATGAATCAAGAAATATGATGTACAGTGATATTTTGGTCGTAGTATAAGAAACATACCTTCAGCTGTATTTCTTTTATTTTGTTGCTATGTGACACAGAAACTATACACAGATTGTGGCATATTAAGCAATTGTCTTCATCATAATCGTATGTTTGGTTTTCCTTATTGTTATGCACATGTATCAGTTTAAAGTATGCTTTTACTTCTCCAGATTCAATCAGTTGTGTTTGTTTTTATCATATGTATTATCAATCATGGTTAGATTTGAGAAACGTGAAAAGTTGATAGTCATTATGTAATAAAAGGACCAAGACTTTTTTCACATTCATAATTACTGTGCCTGTAGTAGAGAAGTAACAGTACTGTAACACCAGTAATTACAGTTTCATTTTATTGTATTTTGACAATACTGTAATATGGCAAGTGTATGTATGTACAGTGTAAAGTTGTCTGCTTTTCTTTATTCTTACTGTTGTACAAAAATATACCCCAAAGAGGGTTGTACCAAAGACGTTCCATAATATGTGTGTTGTAAATTTAAAGGTACATGTATTTACTTTCTGCATTTCACTATCATATTAAGAATGTTTATGTTCAGTTTCCTCAGAAGTCTTTGTCTCAGCAGGGAGGTTTAAAATCAAGATTTCAAACCTCCTTGCTCTCAGGAAATGCTGTGATCTCAGAAAACAGAGTACTGCATTAATTGGTGTTGATGTATTTTGTTTCAAAGAAATGAATAACATTTAAATAAACATCTTGTCTTTTGAAAGTTTATCTCGATCATGTATATTGATTTACTCCTCCATTGTTGAAATAGTATCCCTATTATAAAGAAAGAAGTACGTGTATTAACAAAGAATAAAGTCCATAAGAAGGATCCCTAATTTCCACAAAAAAATGTTTTAAGGTCATAAAAGAAAATTTGACAAGAATTTTCCTCACTCAGGTTCAAGAATAATCACTAGAATTCCTTGGAACTTTCTTGTAATGAATTCATCCAGTAACATCCAGGTTTATTCTCACGACTTACCAAGGGCAATCCCCTATATACATTATATCTTTACAAGGATAATGTCCTTGATCTTTATTTTATTGTAATACTCTTTCGATATCCACCCCCACCATTTTTGTTACTTGGTATAGTCTATATTTAAATTTAGAATGTTCCATTTCAAGAAGGGAAGTTCAGCCTTCGTATCTTTGACTTGCATTTAGAATATTTTCCGACACTGTTGCAACACAGCATGCACGTAAGTGCCAAAGTGAATGGGTGCTATTTTCGCTTTTTTTTTTGTTTTGTCTTTTTTGTCTATTGCTATCACACAATAGAGTGAGGATATAGTGAATATATAGCTGGTATCCCCATCCGTGATTTCTATCATTCCTCTTCTGACCTTTGACCTTCCGGGAAGTTTCCCGCCTTTTCCGCGTGACAGAACCAAACTCAGAGTATCTCTCATCCAGAAGACCTGGTCCCTGACATTGTCCCCGGTGCAGGCCTGGTTCCGAGCTGGCTTTATTCCCGAAAATCAGAAGCAAGAACTGCTACAGTGCAAGGTAAGGCTAGACTGTTGTTGCAACCGGTGATAGTTGTTTGAGCATAATTTCCTAGAGCCTGCCTTCTATTAAACTCAGCAGAAGTATGAGAGCCCAGATAACGGTTTTCTGTCAAACATGGCTGTACGGCCATCTGGTTCTAGTTACCGTCAGACCGACAACACCACAGTGGATGAGTGGAGCTAGAAGAATAGTGGCATACCAGTCTTTCGATACCTTCTATTTGTCGTCTTCCGAGACCACTTCCAAACTGTAAAACTTCTAGTTCTTTCTGATGATACATGTATACTAATTTTTAGTGCATAATATATAATATTTGCACCTCAGAGTTAGGATGCAAACTTGTTGCTTTTCTTTCTGTTACATGTACTACTAGTGTCAAACATCGCCCAGCTTTTCATTGTTTTGTTCTACAGCAATTGTTTCAAGTTAATTATTATGGAAATGTCAGATTTAGCGTTGTCAGTATAATCTGGTTTTCATGTTTCTACGAGGTAATACTAGTAGTTACATCAAAGAATGCTGCTTCAGTCATGTGTTTTGCATAATCAAGGTTAAACAGATGTTCTATTTTATATTAATATAAAATGCTAGTAATCAAGGAGGATATATATGCTTATGGCTGTGCAAAAGCAGCCATGTCTTTCTCTTATCTGTCTTTCCTGATTTTCGTGAAGGGGTGGAGTCTACCATGTCAGATTGCCTTGTTATGTGCCTGATTGATCTACATAACTATACGCATTTGGTGTGAAAAAGAAAGACTACAAACTAATCAAGAGCTTCTTTTGTATTGCAGAGTTTGTCTACGATGGCAGCAGCACAGAGGTCACAGCCAACACTTGACTTCTGCGGTGATGAGCACTCAACCACCCTCTTGCAGGGTTTGCAGGAACTGCGATCCGAAAACCTGCTGGTAGATGTCGTTCTTTGTGTCTCCGGAAAACAGATCCCGTGCCACAGAAATGTATTGGCTGCTTGCAGTGGGTACTTTCGCGCAATGTTCTGCCATGGACATCGTGAGAGTAAGGAGCATAAAGTCGCCATTCAAGAAGCCAGTGCTAGTGTCTTGCAGCTTCTAGTTGACTACGCCTACACATCACAGAAGACAACGTTCTGGAACTGATGAAGGGGGCGAGCTTCTTCCAGGTACAAGCAGTCAATGATGCATGTGCAAAGTTCTTGTCAGACAATCTAAGTGTCAAAAACTGTCTTGAGATGGTAAACCTAGGTGGCACGCTGAACCCCAACCTGGAGGCCAGTGCATTGTCCTATCTCATGAAAGAGTTCACAGCTCTAAACAAAATGCCAGAATTTCTTGATTTGACAAAAGACCAGCTCATTGAACTCATCTCATCAGATGACCTGAACGCTCCTGAGGAAACTGTGTACACCGCAGTGATGAAATGGATCAACCATGACACCAGAAACAGGAAGAAGGAGATGAAAAAGCTGATGGAACTGATCCGGTTTCCCTTCATGGACAAGATGTTCTTCATAGAGAAGGTAGAATCCGACAACACATTGCGCAACTGCTGTCCAGGTCTGATGTCAGAAGCTTTGAAGTACCAGGCATTTCCAGGGGAGGTCCAGTCACCTCGCACCCGTCCCCGCCGTGCCAGTGGTCTGAGGGAGGCGGTAGTGATCCTTGCAGGGACAGAGACAGAAGGAATTGAAGCACCTGAAGAAAGCCCCTTCGAAGGAGAATCCCCAATTCACAGCGACTCCATCATGATGACCCACTCCTCAGAACCGTCAAGCGCATGTTGGGTTCCTTTGACGAGAATGAAGAGTGGAACTATCCGTGGATTTGCTGTGGCCGTTTTGGGCTCAAGTGACATTCTGGTGTCTATTGGCGGGAGGGTGTGGCTGTATCAGGTGAATCTTGATAACTGGTCTGATCTGGCTCCAATGAAGAAACAAAGGATAAATCACAAGCTGGCAGTGATACAAGGTAAAGTGTATGCATTAGGTGGAATACGTAGATTGGAGCCATTAGGTGTAACTCCAGATGTGGAAGTCTATGACCGAAGCCTGAACAAGTGGACTAAAGGTGTTCCACTCCCTGAGCCAAGGTTCCAGCATGCAGTTGCGGTGCTAGATGGGAGCATATACGTGATGGGTGGACGTGATGCTGAGGACAATGCAACATTCACAATGTACCGCTTCAGTCCAGGAGACTCCCAGTGGCATTCAGAAAGGAAAATGCCTGTGAGAGCTGATGACATCACTGCAACAGTTCTCAATGGCTGCATCTATGTAGCTGGGCTTCCCTCAAAAGTGCTCAGATATAAGCCTAATAGTTGGACTGTGTTAATCGACTCTGGCACTGGGCCCAGATGTGGTATGACTGTCTTTGGTGGGGAGATTTACATCTATGGAGGGCGAGACACTGATGATAACAAGAAAGGTACATCAAAGGTTTTGCGGCTCAATCCAAAAGACAGGTCCAGGCCTCGAAATTAACTTTTTTTACTATCGTCCCAGAATTGTCCCGAACATAGATTTCAATTGTCCCGAACTGAAGATGGACTGTCCCAGCCTGCTTTTCAGGAAAAAATTTATGACAACAATAAGAAAACAACAACAACTGAATTTGTACAACTTGAAGTCCACTTTATTAGTAAATGTTGGGAAATACATTATAATATCATGGGCACGGCACCATCTTTGAGGCCCCCCTCCCCGATATTGGAATCCCTGATTGGTCAATTTAAATGTTTCTCAGAGTATTATGGGCTGACGGCGGCCCACAGCAGGTTGGATGGATTTTGTTCCTAAATGACGTGGATAGTCTCAGAATTTTCCAGTTGCCCCGAAATTGTCCCGAAATGTAATTTGAATTGTCCCGAGCTGAAAATTTGGTGTCATTTGACACTGGGACAATGTTAATTTCGAGCCTTGAGGTCTCTCACGCAGGTGGGAACCTTGCCCAGGAGTCTGTTCGGCCATGGTTGTGTCACTATACTCCAGCAGCCTCTACCCGCCGTGAAAATTTATAATGCTGAGTTGAAATATGTGGATTCCTTTGTATATCTTGGGATTCATTTAAATGTGAAGTTAAGTGACAATGACTGTGCTCGAGCTGAAATTAGACGCTTATATCGCCATACCAATTGTATAAATCGTAAATTCTATCATTGTTCGCCCGTTGTGAAAAAGACTTTGTTTATGTCCTACTGTTCTCAGTTGTTTAGGGTCCAGTTATGGAACTCTGTTCATGCGAGTGTACTAGCTAAGTGTCGTGTTGCATACAATAATTGTTTTCGTATTCTCCTTAAGTTGCCAAGAGGTTGTAGTGCCAGTTCAATGTTTGTACACCTGTCGACCGATACATTCGATGCTAGACGCAGGAAATTGTGTTATGCTTTCATTAATAGAATATACGCCACTAATAATAGCATTATATGCTGTCTTTTGAGATCAGACTGCCAATTCAGGAACACGTATTTTAAAAATGTATATAGATTGTTG